CTCTCTCAGCTTCTCCTCATGTGAAAGATGCACCAGTCCCTTAATCATCCCAAAATGCCTGCCATAAGTGAATGAAGAGCCATCCCAGGTCTGGTTATGTTGCTCCCTCACGATCAGAAAACAATGCAATGAAATTCACTCACCAGAAAATAAATATGTTTTCAGAGTAGTTTCTTTTATACTATGTGCAAGATTCTGTTACATACCCTTCTTTTCTCATTACACTGAGTGAGCATAACAATAATTTGAGATTTTTGCTGGAGAACCATCTTCCAAAAATCATTCCTAGTTTCTGGCAGTGGACCTTGGGTTGCAATGTATTCCTGGGGTGAATTATAACCCTAAGAAACAAAGAGACAGGCGCTGTTTACCAACATGATTACTGCTTCAGAACACATATTTTTCCCTGGCATACGTATTACTTAGCTTGCTCGAGTTCAATTTGTACTTTAAAAGTGATTTCTAACATAAAGAAACTACTTCATGATGTTTTGTATTTATTCTGAGATTACAACTTTTGCAATTCTTGATGCTCCCAAAGTGCAAACAGTCTAGACTGAAGGACAGAAGACAAAGATGTATCTATACAAATCCCTTGTCCAGGGAGCAGGAAAGGCAACATTATAAAAATCGAACAAACAAACAAAAAAAACCCAAAACCAAGTAATGAGAATCTTAAATCAAAGCTCCAGCTTCTTCGAGATTTTGTAATTTAAGTGTTTGTTTAGTTATAGACATGAAACCAATTACAGATGCTTATCCTGCTCATCCCAAGCAGTGCCTGTGGTGCTCTGCAGTCACTGGTGTAAATGGGAATTTATACGCATGTGTCATAAGGACTTAAATTAGTAAAATATTAATTAGAATTCTGTTTAAAATAATAGAGAACATGCTGAGACAACACCCTTAACAGATTATCTTTGCTATGTTTTACTGAAGCTCAGATGCTTTATACCTATGGATTCTTTCTCCTGTCCCTATCAACACACTTTTAGTTGGAAAGTCTCCTTCCCTTTGCCAAAACCGAAAGACTGTTAAAAAGACTATAATAAACCATCCACACAATGGCCATTTTGGCATCTGCTATACCCATATTTCATAGAATCACAGAATGGTTTGGGTTGGAAGGGACCTTAAAGATTATCTCATTCCAACACCCCTGCCATGGGCAGGGACACCTTCCACTAGACCAGGTTGCTCAAAGCCTCATCCAGCCTGGCCTTGAACACTTCCAGGGATGGGGCATCCACAGCTTCTCTGGGCAGCCTGTCTCAGTGCCTCACCACCCTCTCCGGGAAGAACTTCTTCCTGATATCTAATCTAAACCTCCACACTTTCAATTTAAACCCATTACCCCTTGTCCTGTCACTACAGGCCCTTGTAAAAAGTCCCCCCCAGCTTCCTTGTAGCCCCTTCAGATACTGGAAAGCTGCAATAAGGTCTCCCTGGCGCCTTCTCTTCTCCAGGCTGAACAAGCCCTCCTCCCCCAGCCTGTCCCCATGGCAGAGGTGCTCCAGCCCTCGGAGCATTTCGTGGCCTCCTCTGGACTCATTCCAACTGGTCTATATCCTTCTGATGTTGAGGGCTCCACAGCTGGATGCATATTTGCTGAGGTTGTGTCATCAAAACCACATTTGAAAAGTTATTTGATATTTCTAATAAGAGCAAAAGATACATCCAACACACAGCATGATCCCATGTAAATTGGGCAATTGCTGTGCCACCACAGTATGCGAATCATAAAAATATTTGTGATCTGGGAGTATTTTCCACAAATGGCTTCCTCTGGACATCTCTAGAAATCAGCTCAATGTGAGTTGCTGCACTACACAGAATTTGCTGTTTGTTTGCCTGCATGGGCTATGTCTGACCTAAGTGTCCAACCCCTACTGTGACAGGGACACAGATCATCCCTAGTATCTGTGGGGAGGAGCAGGTACTCAGCAGAGAAGCAATCGTCAGGAAAAGCCAAGCATTAAGACGACAGGTCTGTCCCAGTTCCTGTGGTCAGCATTATGCTATAAGTAGAACTAAAGAGTTGTAAACTATAAAAAGCAGAACTGAGCAATCCGAAAAAGACCGCTACATAAAATCCTATTATCCATAATCCCATGAAGCTTCAAGTTCTGAATGATGCTTTTGAATGTTGGAACATTTTTCTTTCTTGGTTCCCTGCGAGCTCAGGCACTTGCAGCTTGAGCGTTTCGGTTCACGCTCTTGGCACGCAGAGGCTAAGCACAGGCAACGCGCTCAGCAGCGCACGCGTGGGCAACGCCAGAGTGACAAAGCAGTGGTTTCACCCACTCATCTCAGCACTCCTCCCTTTTCCATAGCCTGACTCAGCTCTCCCCAGCACAGCCAGGGGCAGCTCTGCCTTCTGGTCGCGGGAAGGGTGCAGAAATGCTCATCTGTCCGTGGTCCCCAACTGAAAGGCCTTTTTCTAAACGGATTCTGTAGTGTCCTCCCTCCCCTCCATGCAGCCTGACCCTGTGGATATTGCTCTCCCTAACACAGCTCACACTGAGCAACAGGATGGGGGGAGGTTAACAGAGAGGAAAACCTTTGCAGCACTGCCAGGGATAAGCCTAAGTGACTGCACAAGCTCAGGCAAGAGTGGAAAGAACTAACGAGCTTTTAGCCCACCGCCAGCGTCAAACTGACTACAGCTCCGAGTTATCCTAAAACGCTGGTAAATGGGCGCTCTGTGCCAGGCAGAGGGAGGGAGCACCGGAGACGAGGCAGAAAGCAGAAGCTCCCTTCATGCACCATCTGGGCTGCGTGTATTTTGTCAGCTGTGGAGTGTCTGGCTTGATCCTTTTTCCACGTGCTGTAGAAACCAGGACAAGTTTCTCCTTTAGAAGTTCATGTTATTTCTAGCTGTCTTAAAAAGCCCCTGGACCACTTAACACTTCCTCTCCATTTCTCTACCAGTCCAACCCAGATTTCACAAAGATTCACAGTTCACCCAGTGCTACTGTGGCAAAATTTGCCAAAATCTTCCCCCATCACCACCTTTTTTTCTTTGGAGGCTGGTAAAAAGCACAGTTCCTTGTAGGCAAAATACTGGCAGCTGGAGGAGACGCTGAGAACACGACTGAGCTTCCAGGTGATATTGTACAGTTTGCTGGTAACACGCTCTAACTGCTGTGCAGGACACTTCTTTACACAGAATGGGCAGGGTTGGAAGGGACCTTTGGAGAGCATCTTGTCCACCCCCCCTGCCAAAGCAGTTTCACCTAGAGCAGGTTGGACAGGAGCACATCCAGGTGGATTTCAAATATCTCCAGAGAAGGAGACTCCACAGTCCCTCTGGGCAGCCCATTCCAATGCTCTGGCACCCTCAGAGTAAAGTTTTTCTACCTCGTGTTGAGAGGGAATTTCCTGCATTCCAGTTTGTGCCTGTTGCCCCTTGTCTTGTCTCTGGGCAGTGCTGAAAAGAGTCTGTCCCCATCCTCTCGACACCCGCCCAGTGTCAGACACTGACTGCGTGTCTGTACTCACAGGAATGTAGTTGGCGTTAATGTAGTCAGATCCCTCTTCTTCATTCATTGAAACTAACCGGACACGACTAAAATCATCTGTAAAAGGGAAAAAAGAGAACTTGTCTCACAAACGTGGTACTCTTCTCCAACTAGGCAAAATTAAAATTGATCCTATAATCAGATGCAAAAAAAAAAAATCTATTAAAAAAAATACAAAATACTCATATTTACCAACTGGGAGCAATGTTTCCTTCAGTAAACACTACATGGATGCACCATCATTACTGTTCTGCAGAATACACCCTCCAACTGCTGTGCCTTTGGACTCCCTCAGGTTTCATTAAAACCGTAAGAAAAATATAGTAACAGTACTCAGCAGCAGAAACAACCTTGTGTTTCTCATCTCCAAACTCCTGCCTTGATAAACATCCCCGGAAAGTTACGTCTCTTCAAAGCTAACAAAAGCCATCTATTGCCTGATTCTGAGGGCTGGTTTTAGAATAGGCTTTTATCAGTCAGAAAATCTCTCCTGATTCTCCAATTCCCTTATTAAAACTTTTGTTTCCCTCTTGAGGAATTTTAGCAGGATCCTGTATGTTTTGTACTTACATGGCAGGATATTTGTGTAGCGATTTTTACAGCGATTCATGGGAAGATCAGCAGCAAAGTGGGGGATGTCAAGCCCAATCAGTTTTAGCTCCTGAAGTAACAGAAGGAAAAATACACCAAGGTCAAACTCACAAACACCCAAAAAATAATTCTTTGCGGTGAGATGATTATTTGTGGCAGGTACCAGACTGAAATAATTTTATAAACTGACAGCAGGATTACACTGATTTTCCTTATCTGCTCCCCTCTACCCACAATTAATTAGTCAAAATAGGGTCAAACCAGTTATTTCTATGGTAAGTTATTTCTGTGGTGGTCATGAACACCACTTAAAGGCTTTTCTTCAAGTCCACAAGTGGCTTTTGATCCCGATAGTGGGGAAGGCTTGGAAGATCTTTCTAGTCATCACCTTCGTTAGCTAAATCCAATACATGATGCACCAGAGGACTTTTCAGTGGCAGGAAGGGAACGTGTAAGCCACACGGAATGGTGGTAACACCAGTCTTCCTCACTCACTTTCCGTGTTTAAATCTTTGGGAGCTAGCCCAAGGACAGCAGCTTTTTAATTTTATACTGCTAAAGTAACTTTAAATTCTGGGTAATTAAGAGAATGTACCTGAACCAGTCTTAGAGAGACATCCTTGCTCTTAAACAGATTTTTGATGTTACCTTCTCATTCCAATGCTTCCCCTCAAATTAAGGCATTAAATGAATAAAATAAAGACATTAACCCTTCCAACCCAAACCATTCTATGATTAAATGCTGAATTCAACTCAGACTGCCGCCGTGTCCTAAACTTAACGGAAGTGCGTTGGTCTGACAATTATCTTGAATCAAATGTGATGAGCCACTCAAATCAGCTTGCTAAATACAGTCTCCAACGACACTAAGGTACACTTTTAAATTCTTCAGAACTGGAAGTGAAGCTGACCCACCTAGCAACGGCACACATGAAACAACACGGAGCACAGGAACTCACTACACAAACCTAAAGCTGATCTAGGCGTGGCAGCTACGACACGACAGAGTCCCTGCAGATTTACCTCAAATTGCAGAGAAAATTTATAATCTGAATCTTTGGCCATATCCTTGATGTATCCATCAAAATCATCCAACTGGACAGGGCTTTGAAAGAAAAACAAACAGAAATTAAGAAAAAACTTTTGAGTACATTTTGTTTCGATTTTCCCCAGAATACTGTCAAGTTATGCAGATGTATTTGCAACTATCAATGCTAGAAAGCAACAATAAAGAGGAAAAAAAAATCTTGTGGTTCAGTGCCACCAAACGGTGGGCATAATGCTCATCATTACCTGCATCACACCCTAACGGCACCTGAAAGAGATGCTGAGAGAGGGGTGCTGCTCCCTGTGGGGGAGCTCAATGCTGCAGGGGCTGGTGCTGATGATAGTGAGCACCCTGGTTTGAGGGGGTTGGAGTTGTCCTACCCGAGGGAAACCACTGCTCTGAGGCGAGGGGGACTACAATTCCCTGGCCCCCGAACTGCTTTTGCAGGTGGGTATCTCCCTAAGGCACAGGTGACACCGTGATAAGCAGTGATCCAGCACCCCATCACACACCACTCTCAGTACCATCCCAACAGCACTTCTGGCACCAGGGCAGCTGCTGCTTTATTTAAGTTGCCTCTTGTGCCACATAAAATGTTGCTTTCAGACAATTTTCCCATCTGGCAGAGACGCTTCTAAAACTCATCTGAGCTTTCCTCATGCAAAAAAATGGATTTCGTAATTAGGTTTTGATTTTTTTAGAAGGTTCACACACACAAAAAAATCCCCCTAAAATAGCATTTTGGATGCCACCCCCATGACTGCTTTCTCTGCTGGCTTTGAGAACTATGAACATTTGTCGTTATAGGTCAAATTCTCCTCCCAGAGAGATGTTTGCCAAAAAAGGTGGCATATAACTATGCAGAACCATGCAGAGCTTCAGCAGGTATAAAGGAGCCTTGACTTAGTGACTCCCATCATTCTACACACTTTTGTGCCAGGTGAGGGTCTCTCCGTTAGTACAGGCACAGCCTCTGAATGTAACGCTGAAATAATTAGCCTAACACAACACAGGTAAACAGTTTCCCTCACCCAATTATCATGCTCTAATTTACAAGCTACTGAAGCATGTACACAGTAATCTTTTCATTTACTTTGAGGCAATATGCCCGAAGGAACCTGTCTTATCACCACTTAATTACTCCTGTTTACCCGTTAGCATTAATGATCTAATGTTCTAGCAACAACCGTAACGAGCCTCATGTCAAGAGGGAAATATCACTAGAAACAAATGCATCCCAGTTTTTCACCATTTGTCATTTTTAACTAAGGATAAGCTCTGTTGAAATCGTTAAGTTGGATAATTGATCTTTTCCCTGATGACTAATTTCCTATCAGTGAGGAACTGTTTTACCACAACCTAGCTGTTGCGAAGAATTGCTTTTGTCCAATTATTGTTTGTTTTCTGCCTTCAGACATCTCTCTCAAGATGTGTTCATCAAGAAGTTTTCTATATCTGTAACTGCAATATACTCCATAATGCATGTTTAGGCTAAGGTGATACTTTTTTATTTCTTTAAATATCAAAGAAGTTACATACTTGGTCAGCTTTCTTTTCTTTAATCCATTTTTACTCCTGTAGAAAAACAAAACAAAAAAAAGTGTTTTTCATTCATTAAACTATTGTAGAGTCTTTATTCAAAGTTAGTTAGCACTGATTTAAGAACATACGTTTTCTGGTCACTATCATACTCAGGATGACATTAGTGATAATTTTCTTGGGGATTTTTAAGCTGATAGCAAAATTTCTATTGACACCAATGGGATGGATTTTCCATTCTGTGGCTCTGACAACAACCCTCTCGTGAAAGGGAAAACCTGCACCCAACACAAGCAGTGGGCCCTCTACAAATCGTGACCCAACAGCGCTGTTGGCTTCAGGTGGGGCACAGCTGAGTCCCCAGGGCCTGCGCCCATCGGAGCCTGGCAGAGGCTGTGCCGTTGCAGGGGACAGGGCACCACCATGCCTCCTGGGATGCTCCACTATGGTGGGCTGGGAAAGTGGATACCAACACTAAAGAGCAACTGGGAACAGGAAGCGTCTATTGGGTAAAGGGAGAAGAACACATTTGCAAATTCAAGGAAGGGTGAAGGAAAAAGGAATGGGCCTGAACACTGTTTCTCATCCATCTTTTAACCTGCTTATGGTGATCAGTGAAGACAATGGCAAGTATCCTACTGACTTTGGTGGGACTCAAGCTTGATCCTTAGATAATTTTAATTGACTCTGAACAGCTAGAAGCAATCATGTCAGTCATGTAATATGCTGTCTTCACATGATTTATGAGCGATATAATTCACTGGAGAGAGTTGCGAGCAAGCTTATGCGTGTGGTAAGCTGTATAGCCCATGCTAAGTCCATATGGACTTCAGAACTGCACTACACCAGCGACCACCATGTGGGTTTTTTTGGTTCATTTTGCTGTCGCCACAAAAAAGTTAAACAATCAAACTGAATGCACGAAGTGAAACACTGATCCCCTCTGTTAAACCAATCACAGAGCACAAATAGATTCTTTCTTACTCAGAAGGGATTTTAGTAGTGTCTTTTTTTTTTTCCCTGGGCATTAAATAATATCTGTTCATTCATCAGATTATAAATATGTTATTTTTCATGTCATGTTGACGTTAAAATGATTTCTGAATAACATGGGTCACAGCTTCAATTAGTAAATTAAAGATAAAGACTTTGAACTTCAAAACAATGAAAATATACGGAAATAAATATTAAGAAGTGGAGCAATTTTATACCCTGCTAAGTTTAGAACTTACATTAAAAAAAAAAAAATATTATTCATTTCCAAAATTAAGTTTTGCAAAACATTTGGGTTTTGGAGCAGCCAAAACCTGTAGTAATTTTGCTATCTTGTCAAGGTACAACTCGTTTAGTTGTGGGCTTTGCCTGCAGAGTTAACAAGAGCTACAGCAATACCAGCATTACACTAGTGTGGAGATCTACTTTGCGAAGCTTTACTTTGCATGTATTATAAACCTCCTCAGCCTACCATGTTATCTATACAGGTGCTATCTGTATAGAATCTCTACATTCATGTCTACTACATACACAGCCTAGTAGCATTTATTCTGCATCTTCAAAGATTTTTTTCCAACAAAATCTTAAAATTAATTTCTGTAAATTATTCAACACATTTCTATCCCCTGTGACTGTGGTAAACCTTTTAATGTTGGGCACATTGGAATTCATTTCAAAAGAAAAAAGTATCTAAATGCTGCTTATGATGGGAATGCTTCTAAGAATGCTTCTCCACGGAACACTTCAAGAGGCAATAAAGCAAATGACTGACATCCTTTCTTCAGCAGCAATTTCTTCTGCTTTGATAGTCTCAAGAGGCCTTTGTTTCTTAGCACTGCAATTGTTTTCTGAATGTTCATAAATGTTTTAAACCAACTTGTGCACAAAACAAAGACATTTGCAACACTAGTTGGTGTTTCATCTGTTCTTGCATTTATCCTACAGATTAAAATACAAAGACAGGGATTAATCTCATCTCATTCAACTTCAGATCCTTTAAAATCATCATCTAGACTAATCTAGGGAGCCTGACTGAAGAGGAATCCTCTGAAGAAGAAAGGTACACACCTGAAAAGGTGGGCTAACGCATATTAAACAAAAAGGACAATGGGGCAAAAGGAGACGATGACTCTTTGCAGCAGTGCCATTGACAGTGGCCACCTTGGGCTTCCTGACCATTAGAGAGTTAAGTGATCCGTGTGACCTCCACAATAATAAACTGCTTGCCTGATCCTCCATCACTGTGCAGCTCTGATAGTTCAGTTTACATCAGACAACTCACAAGTCAAGGTAATATTAGCCTGGGAGAGATGCGGAAGTCTTCCATCTGTTCTTCAGCTGGTTGCATGTGGACAACATGCTTTTATTTTCATGGAAGAAGAAATGGACCTGTCCTAAGTTACATAAACCCACTCATTTCTGGGCCCATTTAAAATTTGGATGGGTTTTTCTACAGAACCTATGTGACCCAAGGAAAACCAGTCTCAGAAATGGCTACGCTGAAGATGTCGATGATGCCTGCCAAGGGTGTGGTGCTGTGTGGTAACACCAGGGGAAACATTTGGTGGCAAGTAAATCTTGGCTTTGGTACCACACTTTTGTAAATCACTATACTTTGGACTCAAGACCATCAGGAAGTTAAGTTCTTTTATATAAATTAAGCATTTTTAGATCATAGTCAATTATAATTATTTGTTCAGTGGTTCGTAAAATAGTTCTGGTTCTAAGTAGACCCTGTGGCTTTGCTGGTTAGGTATTAAAAAAAAAAAATCAGTTGTTTACTAAGTCTTTATAAATTATTTATAGACTAAACTATTAAATGCACACACACACCCACAGATGCAGACACAGTGACCCCATTTTTACACTTTGGGAGTGGTAGTTTGTATTGAGTCTCAGTGAACTGTTACTTCCAAAAGCAAAACTTTTACTGATGTCAGGAGAGCATAACCGCACCTTGAAAAACGAAGGTATTTGACATCACACACCAAACAGGTGGGGCTGGATCGAGCAATTTTAGTAACAGAAAAGCAGCAGCAGGCCATGCCAGGCAATAAACAGGTGAATAACTGGGACAGAAGAAGCCAGCACTTATAATGAAGTGGCAAAAATTACAAAGAGAGCAATGAAATGAATATGACGACCACCATAAGATTAGCTTTTTAATACCAATATGGGCTGGAGCATAAACAGACAAACTAGACGAAGCAGGGTAGCAAATACTTTGATACCCACATCCTCTCCAATCCATGTTCTACTACAGGAAAATTATAACTTCGAGAGCTTTGACCCATTTGAAAACAAAGGTATCACACACTTTCCATGTAATAGAAATTAACACTATCTACACATTGCATATGGAAAAACAAGTAAATCACTTACCAAGGATTAATATAAAATGCCAAAAGATAATCAGTCCAAAGGCATGAGGGTAGCAGAGTTAGGAAAGCAAATACACTTCTACGCCTGTGAGCATTAATAAATAACATACATAAAGATGAAAAAGTGAGGAGAGTTAGTAAGACAAACAGAAATCAGGACATCAGCAATTTCTATTGAAAAAATCATCGAAACCCATAAAGGCTTCTTCTTACTTACTTCATAAGAATATTGTTAGCATCCATAGAAATTTTACTCCTGAACCTGATACCCTAAGCAGGGTTTTCAGCATAAAATTTTCTATGATCAAAATAAATGTGTTTTATGGTACTGATACAGGCCTGTTATTCTAAATCAATGTTAATTGAATAAATTGTGCTTGAAAATTTCATCCATGGGTTTACAGCCATTGCACAGGTAGTCCTATCTCTATTTTTTGATGTTTTGAGATATTTTAGGAGAGACATTGTTTTTACCATTTGCAACTACAATAATCTCCCACAATTGCTCCTGCAAGTGATCCTGTGGATAATGGAACATCTGTATCGGAAAGAAATTCAGATAATTTCAATATCTCTTAATATCTTCTATTGAGTCAGATTTCTGAAAACATCCATGTAACATTTTGCAGAGTCCAGTTTTTAAGTGCTTTAAATTCTCTCCTAGGTTTTTGGCAAAACATTATTTGAACTTCTTCTAACTGTGGTTTCTATGAATAACTATTCACAGCAGGTTTCATGGTGGCTGAAGGAAATTTGAGTGCAAAATTGTTCTAAACCTCTGTATTTGTGACCTGTTTACCAGATTCTGCTACGCATTGACCCAAGAAACACACGTGGGCCTGTTCTACCTTACAGGTGGAGTGGGATACAGGTACTTTCCAAACATGAAAAACTCATTAAACACAATTAAACCAAAATTCCCCCGGTAGAAGGATTTTTTTTGCCAAATACAGCCTCAGCATATTTTTTCCCTATCGGGGAAATCTCCTGTTTCAGTACTCCTGGCTCTTACGAATTTGGCAGATACTGTGTTTTCTCTGATAAGCAAGTCATGTAAGGTGTAATCATCTCTAATCAGTGGAGGAAAACTTCTGCCCACACAGTGAAAACTTCAAGTTATGCTTTAATGAGTTTTGCTACTTAAAAGAAAATTGGCAGTGCAGTGTGTGCAAGGCACCTTCCCCAGGCATTGGTAAGGATTGTGTGGATCAGCCAGAAGCAAGAGCCCTTTCTAGTTAATCATATTCCATAGTGGTTGCAGGATCAGGGCCTTAGGCCTTATCCGTTGTTAGGGTTTCTCTCGGGCTGGACTGAGGATGAAATTTGGTTTTCCATAAGCAGCTCTCTGGTGCCATAGAGAGGTTTACATCAGGCTTAGAAGAGAGAAGGGATGTTGCCAGAATACTCCTCTTGCCTTTGGGAAACTTTGCTTCCTCTTGCCTACAGAGGCAGAAGGAATTATTCAAGCTTCTTTCATCTTCAAATCATCATGAGAAATTTCCACACAATCAAATCACAGGCTAACATGCTTGCAGACCTACTTATATTGTTCACAGATTAGGAACACCAACATCTAAACCAGCTGATTTTGTTCAACATAGAAAAAAATATGTAATTGCCCAACAAATAAAGTATTATTTTCCTGGAAACTTTAGAGTCTTTTGCCTGCTGCTGAAGTGCACTGAAAGTTTTTATTTAATTAACAGAGAGAGACGCAGAGATTGCTCAACTCCTGAACACTCTGCTGATCTGAGATTTCCTTCGGAATCAATGGATATGTCCTTAGCTGCCTTACTAGATTCCTGGAATTACCTCAGGCAAAATGGTTTCTTAAACCTTCCAACTGTCTTTAGGGCCATATTTCCCACTTGGCTGCCTGCACGGACAATGAATCTAGTCATGACATTATACGACAGGGGCACACGAAACAAGATATCTTTACGAACTCTCAGAGAAGTCAGGACTATAAGATTAGGGCACACTGCCTTCAGTTACCAAAAAACTGTGGACATACTAAGCAGCAATATTTTCTCAATTTTGTGTCTTGTTACATAATTTATGTATGCATACACATACAGATATATATACATACATACAAAATCAAGAAACAAAAACCTTCACTTGCACATCCAAACCTATTAATTAATTCCCCTTCCCATAAAAAAAGCCTTTTATGGTTTTAATAACATCTGTTGCTAGTTTAATCATTTGATTCAAGCTTGGATATTTAATTAACAGGAGCGTTTGATCTTCGGCCTTCTTTGCCATTAATATAATCCAAGCAAGAGAAGCTGAAAGAGATTAGTTTCTACTGCATACAGCTGGCTGCTATTAAAGCTAAACCAAGCAGGCGAAGCTTGTTTAATAGCCAGTTAATTAGCAGCACAGTGAGGTATTGACAAGATTTGCTGGGCTTGTTAAGTTCAGTCTGCACCCTTATTAGCAAAAGGCTTGTTGTGGTGCAGCATCAACCCATTTAATCCCATGATGGCTGGCAGGCTGTGTCCCGTGAGATCATGGAAGCAGTTCCCTGTGCACCAATTCCTCTTTCCAACTCTTTGGCTGCCAACAAAGCTGACCATGGGTGTAAAAACATAGCTCATATTTTCTTTCTCCTTCATACTGGAATGGGGCTTTAGAGGGCTGACAGTGAGCTTTTGAATAAATGTGTTTGAACTTTCCTTTAAAGGTGTGAGGTTTTTTCAAAGATTGCTAAAAACAAAACTGTACACCTTGGGTCAGTCATTAGCACCCATCTGATTATCAAAACGTGAATAAAAATGTCCACACTGGTGCCAATCAGGCAGGTCTCAGAGCCCTTTTTCTTCCGGAAAACCTAATCCTACAGACTTTTTTCAAATACTTCTTTTTGTCTGATGGCATCAGTGATGGTTTGGAGTCCATAGTCAGTGCCTGAAGCTCTTGTAGGTGGTTTTCTAGACTAGCAAGAATATGGCCGGCTGTTATGTTTGGTTTGTGTTTTTTTTTTTTTTTTTCAACAGCACTGAACATTAAGCTACAGTAAATATTTGACTTGGCTTGTCCTTGTCTTGCAGTGCAAGGAAAAATTAATTAATGGTACTGTGTGAAGACAGTTCCTAATTGGTTATCTACAGGCAAGCTTACTCCTGGATGTAAATATCTCTCTATGGAAGTTCTGGTGGATTTACAGATCAAATTTTTCCACTTGTGTTATTTTAGGAAATATGTCTCTAAGGAAAAAAAAAATATCATCCTAAAACTCATCTATGCAAATTGATTGACATGTATATACATAATTCCCTACTAAAAATAGCAGGTGACAGAATCCATCGTCTTGAGTCATCATTCAAGAAGTAAAATACTAAAATAACAGGTATAGGAGTTTTATCTTAAACAAGGACAGTGATGACATAAAAAATAAGCACGTTTAAAGATCATATTTGCCAAAAAGCCGAGATGGGCAAAAACATAATTAAAGACTTTGCTTCAAACACTCACCAGTTATAGGGAAGCTTTCCATCTCTCTCTAAAGATGCAAAATTGACAAAGGTTCCAGCCCCGCACTCCCTGTTTCGGGAAGAGTGTTGGGTACAAAGTTACCGGTTTTGGATTCACAATGCTTGCAATGACACTGATTTAACAGAGGCCTCTCAGAGTTGTGGAGGAGTGCTGAACACTCACATCTGCGGCTAGGTCTGAGATAATCTGTGATAAATGTAACTGAAATCCCTTAACATAGTCCTCCAAAACAGCAAAATGTTCAACACCTCCTGAGATCAGGTTTCCTAATAATGCTTAAAAAGAGTGAAACAAGGGAGAAGTTGCTATTAAATATTTCAAACAGACTTCATCTTCTGTTCAGATTTGGGCTTTCTATAGTCTGTCACTAGCACCAGTTGCTGGCCTCAGTACACATGCTAAATAATTTAGCTTTCTATACAAAATGTTCACTGTCCCAGCTCTGAGGAAAAAATGTACAATTGTCTCTATTTGACAGGAGCATGGTAATATTGAGTTCAAAAAAACAGTTTTGAAAAAACTCTGAATCTCCTGAATAACATTCTAGTGAATTTATCACAAGTCCATTATTTTCAGATACAAATGATTAACTGACTTGAGTATTTTCTAGTCCTTGATTTAAGCAAACAATTGCTTGCAGCTTCTCACCGGATTTACTTTTTAAATTTCCTCCTGGAGTTTTTTATATTCTGTGGCTAGAAGTAGTGATGAAGAGAAAAAGCTTGGAGTTGCCTTCACAGTAATTAAATAGGAAAGAGAATTAATTTAGCTGGGATTTTCACAAAGCCAGTTACATGTAAAAGGAACAAACCACATAAGGAAAGATCTATGCTGTGTGGTCATCTGTTGCATGGAAAACATAGCCAAGATGTGACACAAAAAATGCAGTGTCTGCTAGGTATTCAAGTGCAAGATTTTTCACTTTTTTTTTTTTACATGAAATAAATTCCTTTCTTGACACAAGAGAGGAAATTAATATAAAATATATTACATAGGTTGTAAAAGGGTAAAGACTCTAGGACCTTTCCAAAGCCAGCAGGTGAACCACAGAGAGGATCTGGAGAAACCTCCACAGTTCATCGAGGCCATAACATAACATATGTCTTTCAGGTAAGACAACCAGAAAAAGGAAGTTGAATTTCAATATTCAGGTACAAAATATTGGAACAGATAGCTAAAGGACATGCAGGTACTGTAAGAAAGGTTTACTCCTTACAAGGTAATTTTTCCCTTCATCTGTATGATATAATAAATGGGGATCACTAACGCTACACATGAAGAGCAGGACCCAAAATACCTTCTGGATCTGTGAGTCTCAGAGTATATCTGGCTGCATCCTGACTGTGTAGAAAGGCAAGATCTAGGAGAGCCCATATGCTCTCTCCCGTGCTGCAGTTCCCATAGGGATAAAGCCCATATAAATGCAGAATGTGGACAACTGGAAGACCAAGATTTGGGGGTAGACTGGCACATGCTCTCAGGGACCTGGGCGCATCTTCCCTCATTGCAGGTTTGGCTGCCAGAGTTCCGTCCATATGTGGACTATGAAATGCAGCATCCTGGACCTCATGAACAAACCATCATATCTGTTGATATGGAAAATCTCCTGTTCCAAACCATATGAAAGGTTTGCAAAGCATCCTCCTGTTCATTCCCAGTTGCCTCAGATCCTAATTATCCTTTGGGTTCCTGACGTAACCATTTTGTAATAAGGGGTTGCACTTCTTACGAACCCAATCTTGCAAAGCTCAAAAGGAGACAAAGGTTGAGGCCTATAACTCAGGTCAAGAATGAAAGTAGATAAGGGAGAGAACATGACATTCCTAGTCAGCAGCAGGACAACTATTTTGAAGGTACCCTGTTCGCAAGCATCTCAAGCAGCACCCATGCACACAAGCATCCTCAGTTGCAACTATTATCATATGTTTGTTGTGGTCTGAAATATTTGGAATTAGCATTAATCTGTACTTACCTGGCCATTTGTAGATGTTTTCTTCTGAGTACAATGAGAGTCACCAGCAGCAATCCAATCAAAAGGATACTTAGGATGGCTAACACAGAAATTACCACTACGTTGGGATTCATTTCGGTGACTGTATATACAGAGAAGGGCTCTTGGTTATTCCATTCAGAAACACTGATAGTTTTGGTTATTTTTTCCCTGACTGTTGATAGCGTTATTTTTCTGAACTGATCTCATTCAGCCTGAGGTGTTACAGGGAGAAAAATCTACCACTAGAGTGAAAGGGAGGTTTTGACTAGTTATTGCTCTTACAAAATTGCTGTGGGGAAATGACTTCACTCTGGCATTTAGTTAAACTTTGGCACGTTCTGGTGGTTTTTCTTTTTTTTTCTCCCTCCTTAACTGACATTCATAACACAAGAGAAAAGGGTGAAGGAAATATATGACACAGATATTCATCATCATCTCTGTCTTCAAAACACATTTCAACTTTGAAGTTGTTCTTCAATAATAATCAATACCTTTTCTGACCCAAAAGCAAAACAACAGGCTGAGGGTCTATAATATACTGGGTTGAAATTGGTTGAATTACTTTGGCAAATAGATTTTATCAAAATTTTCTGTTTTAAATAAGAGCTGGAATCAATTCTTAATATCAAAACCTTGATTTATTTCTGTTCCATATTACATGCTCATCAATTGTACTACAATGAGACCAGGTACCCTGTTCTGCTCATTATATAAGAAACCCTCTCTCTACTTTACTTGTTCAGAATAACTTTACATCCACAGTTGCCTAGAGAAGCATTTTTTTAGATTAAAAATAATGGAAATTTTTAGGCTAAGTATCAGACACTGAACTCCAGAATGGAGTGATGTACGATGTATGGGACCAGGGACTAAAGCTACACAAATCCCTAACTAAGCAGAGATGACTGATCATTCTGAAGTGGGGATTTTAAAGAAAAGTCCAGTATTCTAAGCAGTTCAGCACTGATATTTTTTCTTCTGTCAATACAGAGCCAGGCTTCACGACATGCACAGGGAGCCTCTGTCAGGACCTATCGTGACGTGTGCTCAAGATCCTGCAGTGGCCCACGTCCTTCTCTCTCCCCCTACCTCCACTTCCTTCCTCACTGGGAGAAGAAAGTGATTTTTTGCCTTAGCAGTTTATAAATGTCACTTTCCTCTTGTTTGGGCTTGGCTGAGAAGACCTTTTTCTCCATAAATGTCATCAAGCTGTACCCTGATGTTCAGCCTTGACACCACAAACTAAGTCCCTGATTTCTAAAATCCAGCAGAGGATTAAGTCTCTAGTTTATATTTTTCCACACTGCTGTTGCACTGCCCCCCTGGGATTTTTCTAAGGACTTTTTAAAGCTGCTTCCCCATCCCAGTCATATCTGTCAGCCTTTCCATGTTACAAACAACCCCTGGGTCCAGCATTACTGAAAGCAGCTTTAGAACGCAAGGAGAAACAAATGTCGTAGCCAGAGAAAGGAGGGAAGTACTGCTTACCCATGGTGGAAACTGCAATGAAAGTGGGGACACTGGGGCTGTCGTGGCTGAAGGTGGTCACACTGCAGTTGTAGGAAGTGGCAGGGGTGAGGCTGGAAATAGTCACCACATGTGAAGAGACAGTGACAGGTTCCTGCAGACATGGAGAAAAACACACAGAAGTTTGTCTCTCTCGTAAATGCAAGAGCACAAATCAGCGCTCCCCTCTCTATCTGTATATTTGATCAGGTAAAGTCAAATCTGGTGAAAGAAACCAGCACTTCAAAACCCAGGGAAGGTAACCAGGGCCTGTCCTTGAAAATAGGCAGGTAGTGTGGCAGAAGGGAGAGGAACAGGGGGGAAAACCTCATTTTTTTTGCCCAAAGCACCCCATGGAGCCCCAGGCCCCCCTTGGGGAGGGCAGAGGGTGCCTCGTGGTGGGATGGTCAGGTATGGTAGGGGAAGGCGCTGTGACTCCCTGGACATCCCGAGGTGGGCAGAGCTCATGAGCTCTGGTTGTTAAGCCCTTCAGGTAGGAGGAAAATAAAGTAATTTTTATTCAAAGTGTGGACAAGGTAGTCACAATCTCTGCAACTTCGTAAGAATATGTGTCATCTCTGCCACTGAGGCAGTTCCTCTGGACATGAAAAGCCATGAGCCTTTCACACGGCCAAGGTGAAAAACAAAGCTGGAGCAAAACCTTTGGGTAATAACCACGATCAGTTATCCCACACCTCAGCTTTCCTAGGTAGTAGAAACTCTCTACATATCATTCATCAAATGTTTTAATTACTGCATCCCTGGTAAACACGTCTGTGTTTCACAAATGCTGATATGGCAAAAGAAAACAAATACACCACATGCACTGATATATAGCTCCTTATGGTCTTCAGAAAGAAGCTTTTCTGTTCTCTCCAGCAGAACCAAGGGTGTGTTGCAGATGTGAAAATAGGGACACTGAACCAGTGGTTTAGAAAGGTAACAAGGAGAAGTGTTATGAATGAACTGACTGCAGATGGGAAGTGCAAGATGCTGTAACAAGTCCAGATCGCTGGGTTTTTGCAGTGGGCTGTTGTCATTCATGGGCTCCTTCTAGAGTAGCAAGGGTTCCTGTTGCAGTGCAATTCTGGGGTATGTTACACAGATGAAATCACAAGTACGCGAGTGTGAGGGAGGGGACTTTTATTCCCTGAGCTGAAAGGAGGGGCCATGCTTGGCAATTGGACTTGGTTGGATGTTTTTCATTTTCTTCCCTGGGAAATTTAAATTAATCAAGCAAAACCCACGATGTTCAAACCTGGAAAGCTGTTGCTTTTCATTTTGCTGATTTATAAGTGGAGGAAAGGGATAAAAATGTTCATATAATTAGCATGAAGAATCAGAATTAAAGAATTTTCACCAATCTCATGAGAAAGTATCCCTTTTTACAGTTCAAAAAGGAGCCTCTCCCCTTTTTCATAGAGACAGAACAGAGTGATGAATCTAATGAGAAGTGAGCTGACAATCTCTGTGCACTCCCCAGTGCCAGATATTCGTGTCAACAAATGAGACTCCCTCTGAAGTTCCTGCAAAATGGAGCATCCTTTCCCTGATGCTCTTAAAACAGATCTGCTCTGAACTCAAGCTGCAACTCCTGTGGTACCTTCCTTGCCTGATCACATAATTATTTTGAATATCTGCTAAGTGGATAATGACTTCACGATCTTTAGCTATTCACTGTGAAAAAGGAGGAATCTTGATAAGGAATCCAAACTACTCCAAAGATTAAAACACATTTAATTTTTTTTTTCTTTAGTCAGTGCCTTTCTCAAAAAAGGAATACTAAATAATTCAGACTGGTCTACCATAGAACTAAGGAGTGTATATGTCTCTCGAGATAATCAGTGGTCTGAGTGGGTTATTTTTTACTTTTTTCTGAATGATTCCCCATTATGCGTGACACTCCTTCAGGACAGAATGATGTCTCAGCATGTAATCACAGTGATTCACTATACCATCAGCTAAACTGCAAAGTAAGTCTCACATGTTGTGCAGCATTGAGTGTCAAGGAATTAAAATTACGACAGTTCTATTCTTCACTGAACAATGTTGTCAGTCTAAACACTGAGATATTCAGGTGGCCTCTGAGCACAGGTACCTAACTGAACAGAGAAAAGGAGGTTCATTTGTGACGCTGAGAAGGTGAGTCTCGAAGGAGATGCCCCATGAGGAGAAGCCGTATTTGCAGCACAAAGGTACTCTGAACAGCAGTGAAGGTCCCACTAAGCTTCAATTAACAGTTCTCAAAACCAGGAATAAAGTAAGCCAGACATAATTAAATGCTGCATAAAAGATCATAAGCCATCTAAATGTGTCTATTTTCCCCAATCCTTATCAAGGTACCTGACCATTTTTCCCTTCCTGCTCACTGACATTCCCTTAGTTTCGTGGTCTTTTAGGTTTTGCACAGTATATAGGAGCGATTTTCACACCTAGCCAAAGACTGACACTCCATTGGATGCACATACAGCATCTGTCCAACTAGTTATAATCTCATTAATAAGACATATCCAAATTTTAATATTGCAAAATAACTAAATGTTTTAGTATTTGAAATGCTTTAGCAGTTCAGCTTTTAAAGGTTTAATTCTGAAGCACCTTACCACATTTGGTTTAATGATGTAACCTGTGTTCTGACCATAAAATGCCAGTGGGCTTTACAGACAAAAGCTAAGCAGCAGACAGCAAACCAAAAAGACGCAAGGCCCAGTCTCAGTATCAGAGATGAAGAGCAGAAACCAAAGAAGAGACGCTTACATACCTGGACTTTGGTTTCCTGAGCAGACCCAGCCTGCTGGCAGTACACTTCGAAGAAATCAGCCACTCCTTCTTCCACCCACAGCAGAGTCACAGAGGTCTGAGTCTTGTTCACAGCAAATAGTGATTTTGGAGGGGCTGGTTCTGGTCGAGAGAAAGTGCCTTTTTATTAAGCTTATCTTTAAGTTTCCATACAACTGAAAAGAGGAAGCCTCAAACAAAATCAAAAGCCATGCCTGATGCCCTTCTATCTTTCATTTCCTTCAGATAGTCTGCCAGCGTAAAGCCCTGCCTCTCATGATGACAAACTACCACTATAAAATGGGAAGATGATGAAATGTCTTGGTTTTTCTTCTCCATTTAAAATGTTCTCTATCTAGACAGTTGGATATTCACTTCACTTCCCTTTTCAGCAGAGCCCTTGTTTGAGGATGATCAGGGTATTCTATTAATAGCGTGATGTTAACAGAAGCTCTTTTGGGAGAAGATGGTTGTCCACCTGTTAGCAACACTTTTGGCCTGAGAAAGCTTTGTTTCACAAGGCCTGTCCCTGGAGATAAGAAAGAGGCAGCTTCCCACAAGCGAACGCCGTCTGGGTTCATTTAATTGTGGCAGAGGAAATATTTAGTCAATTAGCAGTTTTTTAAAAAACTTGTAGGTTTGTGGTTTTTTTTTTTTTTTCTTTTCTGGGTTAGCATTTAAGATCCATTGGGTCTGTATTCATTTCAGTTAGCTGCCAGAGTTTTCTCTCCTCACTGAACACAGAGGTCCAGAATTCGGGAGTTTTCAATTTATTGCTTTGATATTTGTTGCTGTTGTGCTGGATTAACCGGCATGTACACGGTTCTGGTGTTTCTACGTGGCGAGGAGGAGACAACCCTGTGGTAGGAGGACTACTGGGAGTCTCCTGGGAGACAAGGCATCAGAACTCTGTACTCTGAAACACGGACGAGGGTCTACACGCAGCACACCCAGCCCCACGTGGGGTAGCCTTGGCTGTCCCCAGCCCCTGTAGGGCCATCTCCCGGCCTGCGGATTCCTGAGGCTGGGTGGGCAATGGCCTGTCAGAGGACACGCTGACCTCCAGTGCAGGCCACCCCTCACTGCAACCATGCGTAACCCAATCTCAAGCATGGAAAGCATGGGAGAACAAGAGGGGAAACTTTGAGGAGCAGGGAGAGGAGCAAGCAGCCTAGGTACGGCATTAGGATGAGATATAATATTTTTCACAAGACTTAGATCCTGATTGTCATCCTGAAGACTTCACACAAGACTGCAACCATGCGTAACCCAATCTCGAGCATGGAAAGCACGGGAGAACAAGAGGGAAAACTTTGAGGAGCAGGGAGAGAAGCAAGCAGCCTAGGTACTGCAATAGGATGGGATATAATGTTTTTCACACGGCTCAGATCCTGATTTTCATCCTGAAGACTTCACACAACAGGTATTTTCAACTCCTAGCTTTCAATACCTCAGGCATCCTGGACTCCTTTGGTTTGTCTTCGGAACTTGCAAAGTTTCAGCTGTCCCTGTCCAAGCTGTTCTCCAGAGTTTTCAGATTGTCTAATCTATGGATGTTTACTGAAAGTTCTCTTTCTCAAACAACGAATGACCTGATTCCAGGATCCCGACATAGTACATACAATGTGCTATGTACAACAACATTTTGCTCTTATTTTTTTCCCTTGACAAATAATTTGTTATTCTCCTTCTCTGAAATGTTGTCACAGGAGCCTGGACGTGATGTGTAAGATCCGCCACAGCAAACTTGGCACAAAGGACTTGCTGAAGTCGTTATAGACATTTTGGAGACATATCTGATCCTCAAACAATCAGATCAGTGTTCTAGGGTTGGAGGCTGCCAAGATTATATTGGCATTGGGGAGAGCGCTGAGGAGAGCAGGGTAGGGACTGAGGCACGTTCACACGGCTTCTTCTATGTTGCAGGAATTGCAGTGTACATGTTGCCCCAGAACTACATAGGAAAGCGTCCCTCTCCCTTAATTACACCCATGTATCTGCTCTGGGATTCAGAAACGCATTCCATCTCTCACTTCAGGTAAAACAAATGGCCTCAATTAAAATATGAGGTTTATGTTTGGGCACCATCCCAAGCAAATCCTCCTTTTGCCTCTAGCAAATGGCTTGATTTTTCTGCAAATGGAAAGTTGCCAGAATGAAGCAAACATCATGGAGGGAAGAACATTTGTGAATGCTTAAGTGACTGCCAAGTGCTGAGTCGTCTATCACTTAGAGTCAGTTCCCACTACTGCTAATTACAACTCCCATTGCTCCCTCAGAAACAGAGAGAAGAAAAACCTCTGGTAAAATATCCTTACTATTGTCTATTCAAAGAGCATAAAGAAAAATAAAACCAAAACCAACATAACAAACAAAACAACCAAAAGCCTAGAAATTATTTATCAAAAAGGAATTCACTCCACCTTCTCTTTGTTGTCAATGAGAGGGCAAGGGCAAAATAACCGTATCAGTTCATTAAGAGCCTGCCTGTCCATAAGCAAAGTACAGGAAGATACATCATGAATAATACACGGCACTAATGGACCTGTCTGAAAGATAAAGCTAGCTGATATTTTGAAATACTCCCTAAAATACTTGGATAATGGTAGCTGGGGGATATACTCACCCTCATACATCCACCCACTCAGTCCTGGGATGAACACACACACCTACCTGTGCACAGATACAAGGCATGGGGAAAATAGTGGACAGGGCTAGCATAGGGAGGGAAAATCCGTGGAATTTGCCTAAATCTTTCAAACAGTCCCTTTGGCGAAAAGACTTGGAAGAACTTCAGTTGCTTGTGGCTGTACTGCTTGTCCCAGCCTTATTTAAGATATTTGAGTAAGAGCTACTGAGAAAGACAAATAGACAGTGATTGTTTCAGGACCCCCAATTCAATTAGAAATTATGGGTCCTTTGAATTCACTTCTTTCACTGTCACTCACAAACAGTTTATGCATGTAGAGAAGATAATCCAGTTGGAAATTACTAACTCCTCTTTACCCACCTTCAGAGCGGAGTTAATGCCTGCAAAAGCAGTTAAGCACACTTCAAAATTTCACAGCTTTAGGTACCTAGAGCTCAGTAATTCTATGTACATACAAAAGAGAAGTAAAATCTCTTCAGGTACAATAGTGTAGTGTCCAGTCTTCCTCATAGGTAAAGGAAGATTTTGGGCAGAAATTTGTATTTTAAAGTCCTACCTAAATAATTAAGTTCTTAAGGATGTTTTTTGTTTGTTTGTTTCTTTGAATAGATTACACGTATTTCCCTTAGAATGATGCTAGGTTCCACATCCATGAATCTGATAGATTTTTGTAGCGAGTACTGTCATTGATTTGTATTTAAGGGAACAATTTTGGCATTAGAAGACTATGGAGACATCCAGGGAGAAAGGGGAGGAGACAGGAAACCAGACCAGGCGGCAGAGTGCAGACCCAGAAATAGGTTTGTCAAAACCAAGGAACGTTCTGCGTTGTATTGAAAAGCTCAGCTGTGAAGCCTGAGTCACTGCTCCCAAAACCTGCCTGACTTCAAGACCTTAGGGAAGAAAATAAGGAGCAGAGCCTTTTTCCCAGAGAAGCATTAAGCAATTTCTACTCTCCTACTTCCACTTACAGGCAGATTCTGCCACCCTGGCTCCTCTTGAGTAACAGTGTTTTAGGGGAGTCGCTTCACATGCAGAAATGAGACAATCTCCACAGCAAGGTGAGGGGGAAATTACAGCTTTGCAAAAGAAATGCGGTCACAGGTACACGACATTGAAATGAGGAAGATGCTGAATCTGCTGACAGAGTTACTTTTATAGTCAGATGAGAGGAGGAATGAGTTTATAATTTACAAGCAAGCATTTCTTACCCAATTTCACAAGCTGGGGCAGGGAAGTATTGCTGCCTCTTTCAGTACAAGCAGTCACTGAAAGGTTGTAAATGTCCCCCGGGGGCAAGCTCAACACTGCAGTCATCACATTGCGTGTTACCTACAATAATTATAGACACCAACTGTTAAATATGACCCAACCCAGATATCCTTCTTGTAAAAGTAATTCGGTCACTTAATATACCACAAAGAAGGTTTTGTGCAGATGTCTTCTGCGTACTCTAGACTTGTTACATGAACCAGTTCCCACTGACACCAACTGCAGAAAGTTATAATGCTCGGCAGAAAGTCACAACGCAGAGAAAAGACCATCTTAAGCTGTATTTTATGTACGATCAGTGAAAATTTAAGGAAGAAATAAAATCTCCCTCATGCCAATGAGGGTAGTCTTGCATCTAGACTTTTCTAGTTGTGCAAAACGCTAACCAAACCATGGATTTGAGTCCATCGCGAAGTTAGAGGAGTTTAAATCGTATCCGATGTCTCTAAGAAGAGCACATAAGACACATACAGGCAAGCCTTTATATATCCTAAGAACCTGCAAATTAAATCCAGTTGGGCAGGTCTAACACCTACCTGGGAGACCTGTTGACTTGTCAATGGATCTCAAGGCCTGACTTCGGTCATCTGCAAGTTTAAACCAGATATGATCCAAAACCGAGCTGAGCTTCAAAAGACTGTGAATAACATTTTCCTATTATTTTAGGGGTGAGTAAGCTCCCCATTTCTCCAGGGTCAAGGAGAAGGATGCAGAACACAGATACTGCAACAGACTGTTTTCAGAGCACTTGTAGACTATCTACAAAGGGCACATTTAAGAATCTCATGCTGGTTTTCATAGCCATTTAATTTTTGGCTAAAGCTGTCAGTTCCAAGAATGATAGATAGTCCTGAATAAAGAATAACAGGACTCTGCACATTATTTTAGCCAATTCTTTAAAAACTGACCAAATTCCACAAGGTTCTCGGAAGTATTCAAACAGCAGGAAGAAAAAGCCATCATTACTTGATTACTTTGCCCATTTATTTTAATAATTCTACAAGAAAAACAGCCATAATAACAAACAACAATTTTAGGAAATCATATAAAAAGAGTACAAAAAATCATATGATTTTAAAAGGAAATTAATTCTGAAAGTGACTAACAGAGCTTAGGAGAACAGGTACACCCTGTAGCCTGCAAGCATGCACCCGTATTTACAAATATGAGCAGTACCATAAAAGATAGCTATAAACAGGTTGTTGCAGGAATTTCTTAAAGAATTCTTGCTGGGTTCTCTTGGTCTCAAAATGAAATAAACAGAAATTGTCTTAAAGACATCTTTGAAGCTTTACTTGTAGATATCCTCTATTTTTAATTTGTTGTTTAATCTGATATTCAATATTAATTTTAATTTAAATTCATATTAGATTTTAATGTATTTTATATTTATATTTGTTCATTCTAAGAAGTTCTTATTTTTTTGTCAGAAACAGTATCAAAAAAGTCAGATTTTTCTCCTGGAAGAATAACGATCTTACAGGGAACATGACTTTTGGATGGAAGGGAGGGATATCACAGCACAATTTTTAAAATTTCAGTTACTTTTGGTGTGGGAGGAAGTGGAGTTTTCTTCCTTGTTTGAAACAAAGATCCAAATATTGGAAGTTCCTGCTGTTCAGAAATGTTGTGTTTTTGAACAGTTCTACTAATCATGCAATTAGATTCATGCTGCAACAAGCTCCAGATGGGTGCACTCTGGCTGCCCGTAGGAACCCAATAAAAACTGGATCCAAATGAAAGTTACTGGTGAATTTGTGCTTGCACTGAAAATCCACTTCCAATTCAGCATTTGCTGAGTCTTCAGCTGTAGAAGGGAAACTTTTTCCCTGAAAAAGACCAGACACTTTCTCCCTGTCAACGATTTAAACATCAGTAGTGATGCAGAAGACAGTCACAGGCTGTCTGAAGCTACACTGCTGGCCATGTACTTCCCTGCGCTGCAGTGCTCCACCGCTATTTCAAACACTTCTCACTCTATGGCTGGGGGCTGCTCTTTTGTTTCAGGTTAAACAGGTGACTTAGTACCCTGCAGCAGCAAGACTTTAATCCATTGCTGGAAACCCCAAATTTCTTTTTCTAAGTGATTTTCAAATACTCTCAAAGAGTTCAAGAGAATGTGCCAAGAACACATCTTAACATTTGGCAAGTTTTCAAAGAAGTGCATACACTCTGGGTGAAATCCTCATCCCATCAGTTAGTGGAAGTACTATTTAAACAGAAAATGAAAACTACGTAATTTCTAAGGATATCTGTTTGACAACATCAGAAAATGGGAAGTAATAGCACCTGGTCTGAACGAACTAAAATAACCCTCAGCTAGTAGTGTAGTCTGGTTATTATTAAGTAGAAACTGAATGGACTACATTGGTTCACTCAAAAATACTCTTTATATTTTATTGGCTGCAGCTCAGAACTTTAATAAGTTATTTTAAAATTCTCACTAAATTATCAACACTTGTGCTGGATCACCAGAGAACAGTTTTATCCAATGGCTGTTTTGAGAGCTCGAGTCTTTAGAAGCGCGTGTTAACACTGTGAAACAACTTTAACTGATGAGGCTTCTACCACTCCTGATCAACTTGCTTAAGCTTTGTAATACAAAGTTATCACCTCAGCCAAAAAAATACAGAGAAATGAGCTACACCTTCCTCACTCATACTTACGCTCTTCTTGATTTTTTTCTTTCCTTCTGCAACCACCATCCAATGCAGCATCCTAGAATGAGAAAGGTCAGTACCATCTCCTCCATAGGTCCAGGTGACATACAAAAGGTGGTTGTAATATTCTATGGAGGTAATCTCAGGTGCCACTGGTGCTGAAGAAAGAAGGCAAATGTATTACAGACAGGATCTACCATGGTTGAGTACCAAGTCCACTTAATAAACCTCTGCCAAAGGATGCTGTTGGGAGAAAAGTATCATAAAGATAGCAGAAACATATTAACAAAAGCATCTGCACCTGAGTGCCAGCTGAAAGAAGCAAATAATGATTTTGAATAATTCGGATGATCTCTCTTCCTAGGAGAAAAAAGGCCCAAACTTACAGTTATCCAAAGAATGTCTTTGTGCATGAAAAGTTCTGGCCACCCATGTTCCGAGGGTGAAAGTCCCACCACAGCAGAAGGCAGCCTTCGGCTGACAGCCATCTAAGGACCGAGGGTCTATCTATGGCACACAGTAGCTACATTATGAGTTATTAGGGGAAGCAGCTGTTGTCCCTCCTCTTCCTCCACATAACCTGCCACAGCCCGGACGATGGCTTGGCTGGCGCTGGTGCTGCCAGCAAGGCCTTGGCTCCCTGCACAGCCCAAGAGGAAAGCAAGCAACCTCTAGATTAACTCGTCCAAAAATAGGTATTTAAGATGAGTGAGAGCATTACCTCCTGGAGATGCTTGTCTATTAATTGTGGAGATAGTAGAGCTGATCAGTTCACCCTGATTGCCTAATTTGGAGGTGCAGGTCCCCAGTTCGGACTTACGTTAAAACTGAGAGGAGATCCAAAAGTGAAGGTCAGTGGTCAGTAAAGATCATAACCCCCTCTCAAAGGGCTATCAGTGGGATAACCTGGATAAAAGAGGAAAGTGGACAAACTGTGCAGATACTTTAGGAGCGACGTAGGGAAAATGCTATGGACAGCTCAGATTTGTTTGAAGGGGCCACGAGATGTCACTGCTGCTTTCACCGAGGCTTCCTGCCTCTTTGCATTGAGACACTCGTGAGACGACAGATTTACTGAAGTCATCGCTGAGGAAGGCAGCAAACGCAATGCACAGGCAATTAGAAACGTTTAGTAAGAGTATTCTCTCAAATTAATCTTGAAAATGTCCTTTTATGCTTTTGAGAGGAAACAACATTATTGAGTATAAAATCTTAGAAGTAATGCATGTAGTTCATCCCTACACAAGTACTCCTTACAATTTAAGGTCACAACTGGCATTAATCATATACGTTAATAATACTTTCCTTCTATGCCTAAATACTGATGAAATGCTTTCCTTCTTAAAGTTCACCCAGCTCTTCGCTTTAGGTGTCTGGCAGGATATGTGAAATGAGACTATGGGCCAGGGCTTGCATGATCGACTGCCCTAGCACCATGTTCCACTGGGAGCTGGGGGTACAGAGCGGCTGTAGGAAGTTACAGCCTGTTGCTAACCTGGCCCAAAGTGAGAGCTGAAAGCATCCACAGGACTGACAGACAGCAGCTTCACAAGGACAGGAGTGGTGGTCTTAGTCTTTATTTCTTCTCTGATGCTAAAAGTATTCTCATTGTAAAAGAAAATGTTGGTGGTCTATAAGTGCCCTTGCTTATGATTGCTTTAAATCCAGCTGTTTACAGCAGGTGGCATTAAAAACTCATTAGTCACCACAGCAACACTGGCAGCAGCCACAATCTCTCCCTGCTTTAAAACAGCAGCATGCAACTGTTCCTGCGGGAGCCTAAGAGAGCAAAGGCTGTTTCTAGTAAGTCTCTGGGATCCCCCAAGTCTCTCCCATTCTCTTGGGAACATCTGACCAGTTGTCATGGAAGAGAGCTATATATCACCTGGTCTCTCTTAATACCCGTTTCATTCCAGGTACTGCAGTCCAGTAGAGCCCCAGCCTAGCTCTAGGCTGCACAGGAGCAGTAGGATCCTGTGTGAGGGAATTGGTTTGTCTGCCCTGAGCTTGCTGCAAGGTGTGGCCCCAAACTGCCGGATTATCCCTCTGCTTTGTTTTAAAAAAATCAATCTTACATTCCAGGTGCAGAGGTTAGCTTCCTTGTTATACACAGAACAACTGACAGATGGTGTGCTGTCAGTAAGACCACAAAACCTTCCATTCAGTATTTTAAAACTTAGGGGTTCATTATTATTGTTTTTTGTTTTAATCCCTGGCAACCTGTGCAGGGGAGGTAGCGTTGCTCAGAATGATGCAGAGAGGGACCAAGAGCTCTGTAAAACCATCTGTTCCTTCTCCGGAAAGAAAGAGGCTGAGGGTGATAAAGAGCTCTGCGATCCCCTGGTGACTTGAAAGAGTGAAAAGGCAGCACCTACTGGGGACAAACATTTCCAACCTGCAGACGTGAAAAAATTGGCATGCCACTTTGCCATAGGTTAGCCTGACAGAGAGTGCCCTGGACAGAGCTGAAGAGATTTCAAGTGATAAGGCAATCAGGAGTATATTTAGTGCTCACATTCAGTAGTGACCATCTATTTATTGATAAGTGCTTGTAATTTGACCAAATCAGATTTCTTTATTACGGCTCTTCCCTTAAAACGCTGTGATCTGACTCACTGCTTATTCAGCGTTTTCATTAACGCTCTGAAATCAGCAGCACCCCTGGCAAACCCAGCAAGCGACAAGGCAGCTGGCACAAGAGTGGAGGACTTGGACAGGGCTGCGATTTCAATTATTGGCCCCTACGCTGGGCCTGTTCAGACAAAATGTATTTCAAAGTGCCAGGTGCAAAGTTTCTTAGGAAAAAGGCATGCAGACACTTCCCAGATTATAACTTCTGGAAAGCAGCTACTCTAGGAAGGAGTCAGAAGCCACAGAATAGTGGCAAATCAACAGAGACCTCCAGTGTGATACCACAGCAAAAGCAGTCATATAGATGCACAAACAAGAAAGCATTGAATAGAGAGTTGATTTTGCCTCTGTAGGAGTATTCAGCAGGCTGGTATTACACTACCAGTTTTCACATTCTTTGAAAAAAACAGTGAAAGTCAGAGAGGCAGAGTAGGGGAATAAAGGAATGTGAAAAAATGTCTTACAGGTGAGAGCACCTGAAGAGTTCAATGGAAGAAATCTGTCAGTAGAAAAGAGTGAAACCAAATTCTTTATAGGGAGGGGGGAAAAAAGCTTTGTGTCTCTTCAATCAATAAGAGAAATGTGGAACAAGAATTATGGACGGGATATTAAAACTAAAAAAAATTCAGATCAGAAGCAAAGGATAAACCTTTTATAGTAAGAGGAATTAAGTATTGGTACAACTTTTCAGTTGGATATCTTCTGGATATTTTCAAAGACCAAATGACCTTTTTGAAGCGAGGTTTTCCCAATCATAAATGGATGATGTGATCGAAGAGATTTATCCATTTCTGATTTTTGTCCACAATTGCTACTTCAGGATTTGATCCATTTTTCACCTAATAGCATTAAGAGTCTTTACTTTCCCCATGGAGAGATCCAGACTGATCCTGATGATGGCTTATATTTTAGAACAACCTTAATCTCCCTAATTTCTACTGCAGGTTTCTGGAGACAGTAGTGAAGGGTGATGGCCCCCCTGGAATGTTTCCACTCTAAAATGCTGAGCCTGGTACCCACATGATTTGGAAAAGACATTTCTCCCGTCATACAGCAACCAGCCAGCTGGAAAATTGCTTCCTTATGTTGCTACAGAAAAGTTGATTGATGCCAAAGGACAATTAATATCTCTGGAGACACTTCACGGGGCCCTAGTGGGTGCTATGAGTTTCTGATACACTGGAGAAGGACCAGAATTTGTTAGTGAAGCTCGGGATCAGATATCTCAGGACAGAAGGGTTTCTGCTAACTTCAGTGGAGCTAGGAATTAACCCACTAATCATTTTTCCTCTGTAGCTTTGTTAAGCACAGGCACTATATTAATCATTATTGCAAATGGGTCTTATTCAGTTCCTTCCTCAGATACATCCTTTCAGCCTCTCACCAAAAAAAAAAAAAAAAAAGTTTGGGAGTAGACCAATATCTGTTTTGGAGGGAGTGGCGGGGACCTTGTAGGCTGTTTTTCCTTGTAATTTAATGTCTACATCTAGAAAAGAAGAGCAAGTCATACTTTATTTCCCCTCATGGTGCATCTGAATTATTTACTGCTTTCAATCACCTTCTGCAAGGTGAACTAAAGAGCAGTACATAGGAGCAGAATGATTCAATAGGGAAATTTGACTTAACCAGCCTTGATGCTAAGAACACATGGCAAGGGGCTAACAGGATCTCTTGTATGCTGTTCCATCTTTGGCTAAACAATTTGGCACATGGAGGATTCAAACCCAAAGTATCTGACAAGAGACAACAGAGTGTGTTAAATGCAAGGCTTGTCCCAACTGGTAGAGAGTGGTCCATGTGGTTACATCTGTTTACTGCAGCTGAGAACCCGGATTATGAATGACTTGTCACCACCGCAGTTTCCCAAGACCAAGGTACCCAGGGCGGGTACAATGCCTTGTCAACAGGAGCACCCTTCTCTCCTTCCTGTGATCAAGTGAAAAACACCCAGCAGAAAAGGCAAAGCTAGAGGATAAGAATAATGTGCTACCAAACATAACTCCCTGCCCCGGTCTGCCTAAGAGAGAGTAACTCTCCTCCGTGTTAGCTAAGGTGTGCTCACGGTCTGATCTGTGCATTACTGGGAGGGGGGAAAAAGGTGGAGAAAGCATGTGCAAACATTGAAAATGTAAAGAAAAATATTACCAGACCTAAGAATTCAGATTACCTATTTACCTGTTCACCTCTCAATGTGTAAAACATAAAGTATCATAAAAGAGCAGCAGGAACTCTGGTCCTCACTGGAGCCATGCATTCAGCTGATGGAGAGGACTGGAACAGAGTAACCAAACACCATGCTTTCCATTGGAAAAATCTATATACATACATACATATATATATATATATAATCAAGCAGTCCTAAGAGCTGTCTTTAAATAAAGTAACATTAAAAAGAAACACAAAAAACAACTCCCCAGAAATCCCACTTAGCTGTCAAATACCCTGACTTGCAAGTATGGGCAGGAGAAATGCAACATCTAAGTCAGACTCTCTCAGCACTTCTGCTCCTAGGAGCATTTCCACACTATTTTCAGGCAGCTGCTTACCTGTGATGAAGCTGATGGTGGAGCTGTCACAGCAGCTCAGCTCTGGGTCCCCCCAAGTCACCATGGTGACCCGGAAATTGTAATACCAAGCAGGCAGCAGGTTAGCTATTCTCTGTAAAGTGACAGGAGACAAACAGCAACTCAGGAGAAAATTCACCAGCGGCAGGCGTGACTTACAAAACGCGACGAGATTTATAAATCTAGTGCCCACGCACGGGATCACTTTTACTGAGCTCCCACCCCTCGCTCCAGTGGAAAACTCTGTACTTTGGGATTTCAATTTATTCAAAAATCTGTGCAGTGAGAGGCAGCACGGTCACGGTGGCTCTGCTCATTTCCACGTGCATATGGTCCCAGGTCCTACCCTCCGCGGGAACCTCTCATTGATTTCCAGGGCAGCGAGGAAAATTCCTCCAGAGAAATCTTCCACCACAAAATTCTGACCTGATGGAGGCAGAATATCTAACTGGAAAATTTAGGCTTTTCTATTTCGATTACATAGGGTTTGAGGATAAATCAGAAACAATGCTTTTGACTCAGATATTGTCACTGAGAAAGACTTATTTTTTCCAGTTTTCAAAGTGTGTTTCACTTTGTATTATCACTTATTACAAATGAAATATAAATGAAACATCAATGAATTATGAGACATAAATTACATATATACTTCATTTATATCTCATTTGTATTTATAAGATGGAATATATTTTATATTATAACATCGTATGCAATATTTAAGCTGAAATTCAAATACTTCCATTAACAGCACAAAACACTTCAAATATTTAATTTTATGTTTAAATGAAAAGCTTTGTGATGTTTTTAAAATTCAAAATAAAAGCAAATTGGAACTAATGAAAATTTTCAACAAATTAGAAATTGCTGTTTTTACACATCTCAGCTGTTTGCAAGCAGCCTCTTTTTTCCCCCAGATATTGCAAGGCAACGCAATACAGGGTTTGTGGACTATTCTCTTTATGCTTTTTAGAAAATTTGTAGCCAATTGCCACCAAGACCTTGAAGAAGCTTGGACTTCTTCTGACATGCTCCCGCTGTAATACTGAAAATACCAACATTGCTTTGACAGTTTTGAAGTAAGATGGAGAGCACAAAATGAACGAAGCAACTAAACAGAGTGAAAGGGCAAATTTGGTTCCAAAGGTTCTCATCAAGTGGTAACCATTCAGAAAATAAGCTTTGAACTAAGCAGTCAGCTTGATTTTTGATCCCCCTGCCTTCTCACTGGGCTTTACACTGTTGTTCCAGAACACACCACTCAGAGATATCAGTAGATCATAGGGAAATTTCTGGGCCATAGTGGGATTCTGGAGCACCGATGGAGAGCTTATACAAAAGTTCACCCATAACTACCTATATGCTGAAGGCATAGAACAGAAGAAGGGGGGGGCAGTCTTTTTCTAATTCATGAGTACTCTTTAAAATTATTGTTTAGGAAATGCTCACTTTAGCTGATGATATAGCACACTTCAGACTAAAATTCAAACAAAGGAATTCCAACTTGGCTCCCTTTCAGAGGATTTGCAATAGTAAGGGACATCAGTATCTCATTTTCTAATGAACCACATTAACTCTGGAAGATGGCATTACTTCTAGGATGACTCAGATCACTCACGTATCAATCTAATTGTGCTGAGTCATGATTACAATATATTAATTATTCTTTTGATAAGTTATTTTTGCTTTTTAATTTCTCTGGAGATTTATGTGCTAGATTTACAGTCACGTAGCCAATTACAGTTAAGCCGCTGTAGCCAAAATGACTCCACAAACGGCGTTATGCAAATCAATTACCGTAAATCAGCGTGGCCCTCACAAGCAGCAAAAGTTATTGCTATCCTTTTTGCATACTCATAACTTTCTGAACAACTAATTTCAGCTAAAATTTCTTGCTCTCTTGTGCTACAGCAAAGTCTGAATAAAATCTGTTCACGTTCTCTAGGAAATAATGGAAAGGAAGAGGAAAATCTCACTTAATTTCTGCAAAGATGTGTATGCGTATTCTTCTGGAGACCAACCTCCACCTAGTTAAAATCCTGGCTTGAGACTGCGTAGCTTCAGAAACACGAAGGCTATTTTCACAAGAGCATCTCTGCAGCTAAGCCTTCCAGATGGCACACTGCAAGCCCAGCCTGCAAGCCCCAAATCAATATTATCAGTATTAATTATGTAGATAAGGCTTTGGACTACTCTCCCTGAAGAGATGATGGAATTTTTAAAGTCTTGTCTGACAAACTGACCCACAAACTGAAGCTGTCTCTGGACTTGCTGAACACAGCCATTTGTCAACCAAAAAAAGAGGCTCATCTCCTGTCTCATCACTCTGCTTAAAATTTAGCATGGTTCAGCTGGCATTCCCTTACTTTAGAACACAAAATGCCTCTGGCATCCTGGCCATTTTCTCTGCTTTGCCTGGAAAATTGTGCTGGGCTTGAAGTCATATATACATATTCACGGAGGAAAATCTGGGCAAAGAAATGTCAGAAGGTGGCAGGACCACACAGGCACAGGAAAGCAATAGTCAGTAATGGTCACTTTACCACAGAGGCAGTTAAGGAGACGGTTGCTGCTATTTCATAGTAGGTTGTCCACTCAGAGGTCATCGTTGATGGGTTGAAGTAAAACATTTCTACAACATATTTCCTAAACACTCCAAGGAAAGGTCTGTTCCAGCTCAAAACCACAGCAGTAGGTCCCAAAGGGTAAAGCGTCAGATCCTTTATTCCAGTGGGCACTATAAACCAGAAATTGTGTTTAGTAATGTGCGTGTTATCAGTTACACTTTATTTTAAAACAAAACCTTTTCTCAACCAACTTCTACCTACTCCTGGTTTGTTCCTGACTGGAATTAATTCCCAAGAGCTTCCTTGTCACAAGCAGTCAGATACCATTTTTTCAGCATTTGTTCTCCAGTTCATTATTATTACATTCTCAGAAATGACTAGAGGCCATATGGTGTTGTCTGCTTAATTTGAGATAAAGTACAGGACTTGATTTTTCACAGTGTTCCATTCTACTTTGAAAATCAGTATGTTTAGGAGATATTTCAAGTTACTCAAAACCAAAAGCATCAAAAGCCATAACACTTTGGAAGATGAAGGCTAAAAGAAAGAATAGTTTATATGTCTATCCCTTATTCCCTGGGGAACCTAAAGGTGCTGCTATGTATTGCTATTCTTGCCTCACAGACGATGACACTGAGAAAGAGAAGGCAAGTGATTTGAAAAATGTCACATAAGGGTCAACTTCTGCAACCCTTACTTGTCTGGAAAGCAATTATTCTCCCCGACTTAACTGAGGCTACTTAAGTAAGTACTTTGGTAACATTTGCAAGGGCTGCAGAGCCCCAGCTATTGCATTCTGGGTCAGAGCTGAGACCAGCGCCCAGATTACTTCAGCCCATGTGAGCACATGATTGCCTTTCCCTTCATAAATCATTTATCACATCTTTTCTTTGCTTTCTCTAAAGTGTTAATGCTCATCCAGTGAAAGTGAGGCTTAGGATAAACATAGGGAGAGTTGAATACTTTTTAAAGTGTATTTTATCTTGTCTCAGTTTCATTCATCATTAACCGCTGCTGATAATTTCAGTTTGTTTTACTACTATTTTAATATCGGATCCAATATCCTGTTATAAAATGAAAACTCATACAACTTTGTTTTACTCCATAAAAACACTCCATTTATTATAAGAAACCTATGAGAGAATTTATTTAGAAACTGCCATTTTCAGCTCAGTAAGAGCCTTTTATGGTTGTGAGGTCACATGAAAGTGGAGATAATGAAGGAACTTATTTAGTTTGTGAATATATGATTTTTCTTTCTCAAATGAAAATAGAATTTTGCAGATTTCTGAAGTAACTACAGTGAGGAAGAAAATCAAAAGCATTTGTAATAATTGTTCAATGATAGAGATTTTGATAATAAAATATAGATATATTTACTTACTATTTTTACCTTTACTGAAATATACCATACTCTCTTTTCAAATTTTTATGCAGACTCAATTTATGAAAATACAGAAGATTTCCTAGAACAAAAAGGCTCTCACCATGTTCACTAGTCCACATACTTGCTTTCATTTATGGACTCAATTCTTAACAGGTTAACTTTGTTTTTCTCTGTTTCGCTTTCTTCCCTACATCACAGAGAGGAAGCAGAATCAAGAACACTGAGGATCTCTAGCTTTCACCCACCTGCTCTCACACACTTGTCAAAAGGAGAAGCTGGGTGACTCAGGCTAAATATTTCTTTGCAAATGTAACTTTATACACTTAATCTCTTTCTCTTTGCCCTTTCTCTTCTTAATACATTTTGTTAAAGTGGTAACCTTAAAATAAACGGTACTGAAACTACAAGGTACTAAATTTTGTCTTATGTGACTGTTCAGTAGCCTGGCGGAATCCTGAATTACAGGCATGTGGGCAGCAGCTCAACCTGTTGGCCATAAAATCACATTCTTAAAAATATTACTCTCAGGATCAGAGGGTCCTCCTTATCTTCAAATCTCAAAGCAGACAACATCAAGATCCACCCTTGAAAATCAAGGCATACACAACTGAAGTTGGTGATGGTCACGTAGCACCACAGGTGATAAGCCAGCTCTCCGGACTCTCAGCACTGTGGCCTTCAGACCGGGCCACATTACATCCTCCATGAAGCACATTTGCAACCAGCATCTTGACAGCAGTTCCACACATTTCATGAGTCAGTGGGGATGAATCACCTCTAGGAAGTGCCCACATCTCTCCATGCATCACAGACCACCTCTAGCTCAGGCTGGCTACACCGAAGTGAGGTGACTCCCACTCTAAATGACACAGACCATGAGCACTAATAGAGACAAATGTATATTCAAGTGTCCAAGGGTGAAGATGGTTCTTTCCACTGGGCCCTCTGTGTGTGAATCCTGACCATAATTGCTCTCTAGTTAGGCTTGGTAATAAGTTCATGTTTAAATGTGGAATATCTATTTCATAATAATACATAGTAGTATTTTCCCCACCTCAGTAATGGGTTAGACAATGCAAGAAAAATATTCTACATGTTCATTACATTTGAAATAACCAACATGACAATTCTGTACTCCTTCATGGGCTCTAGGGCTTAATGAATAAGCTACAGACATTTAAAGACCAAACAAAACGCATATCAAACTGTAGATGCAGGGGTTACCAATGGAAAATGTAACAGGATCAGAAGGTGGTCCAACCAACGGTCCTTTTCGTAAGTAAACCACAACTTGATACTGGGCACCAGGAACAAGATTTTCAATGAGGCTGCTGCTTGAATTCACCTAATAGGAGGGGAATACATCAGATATGAGGTACTTGGTTAATTAAAATAATCACAGAACCTTTTAGGTTGGAAAACGTCCTTTAACATCATCAACCATTCACCTAACATTGCCAAGACCACCACTAAGCCATGTTCCTTAAGCACCTCATCTACACATCTCTTCAACACCTCCAGGGACGGTGACTCAACCACCTCCCTGGGCAGCCCGTTCCAAAGTTTGACAAGCCTTTCACTGAAGAAGTTTTTCCTAATATTCAACCTAAACCTCCCCTGGCACAACTCCTCTTGTGATGAGGCCATTTCCTCCTGTCCTATCATTGTCACTTGGGAGAAGAGACCAACCCCCACCTCTCTGCACCCTCCTTTCAGGGAGCTGTAGAGAGCAATAAAGTGTCCCCTGAGCCTCCTCTTTTCCAGGCTGAACATGTCCAACTCCCTCAGCTTCTCCTCACAGGACTTGTGCTCCAAAACCTTCCCCAGCTCCACTGCCCTTCTCTGGACACTCTCCAGCGCCTCAGTGTCTGTCTTGTAGTGAGGGGCCCAAAACCAAACACAGGATTCGAGGTTCTGTCTTACCAGTGCCGAGTACAGGGGGACAATCACTTCCCTGCTCCTGCTGACCACACTGTTCCTGATACAGGCCAAGATGCCTTTGGCCTTCTTGACCACCTGGGCACACTGCCGGCTCACCTTCAGCTGGCTGTTGACCAGCATCCCCAGGTCCTGTTCTGCCAGGCAGCTTGTCCCCCAGCCTGTAGCACTGCCTGGGGTTGTTGTGGCCCAAGCGCAGAACCCAGCATTTGGCCTTGTTGAACCACAGTGTCCTCAGCCCATCGATCCAGCCTGTCCAGATCTCTCTGAAGAGCCTCCCGACCCCCAGGCAGAGCAGCACTCCCGTCCAAAGAAGATTGAGACTGTAGATTAACCACTTCATTTACAAAAGGCATGATTGTGGAGACAGTGGTTTCAGCAGCTAAAAGTAGTCAGGACTGACGTGACAAATGATCTTACTCACAGAATCACACTTGCCTTGCTGCGTAAGGTCAGCTGTCACACTGCAGAGCCACTCTTGCCTGCTGTCAAATTTTATTGAAATACTCAGACTACATTATTCATATTCAAGTGATATTATTCAGGCTAGAGTATTTAGATGGCGTGTTTTCAATAAAAGCCCGAGGTCTTTCACTGGCCATCTGATCCACCTGCAGCTATGTGAGCTGAAGGCAGCATTATGGGAAAGCTTTCTTCTGAATGCAAGTGCTAAATGACTGCATGGTGAAATCAGAGAGGAATTACTCTCTTTCACCGTTCCTGTACAGCACTACAAAACCTGACTTAAAGGACCTTATGATTTTTCTTTCAGTTTGAAACATCACTATTAAAATTTCTGCTGCGGCACACCAGGTACCAGCCAGAACCAGAGGCAGAATGCCTGACCAGGTGATTCCTGGTCTGATTCAGTATGAAAAGTCTCATCTTCTGAAGACCCAGCTAACACCAAATGCACAGAGCAGCTTTGAGGAAAGGACTTCACGCCCCCCCTTCTAGAACTGCAGGCTGATATTTCCTACTAATATTTTCTTTGCAATCTTTCCAAAGTCTGTATCACAGCCACCATTGCACCACTGTTTTAATGCGATGCACGTGGCTATGTCAGTGCCAGCACAGATTTAGTGAGGAAGGGAATTCGTCTTTAACAGCTGCTTTGGAAAGCTAAATCACTTTTAAATCATGCACAAGGGTAGAAATGGATAGAACTCGGCAATGAATTTTGCCCTTTTCAGCTTGTCAAGGAGAATTCAAACCAACAGACATTAATAATTCCATGTATAATAAGCTGGTAAAATTTGATTAGAGGCGGTACAAAACTTTGTAATAACAAAAAGAAACAAATAACTGTATCTAGATGTACCTACTTGAAATACTCATGCATTTACTTTTACAGAGATCTTTTATTCACAGATTAGCTTTAGGTACCTGAATTTGAGTTTGAAGATGAATCCGGTATTATTTACTTTAATCATATATGTTTATATATATTATCTTTGTTTTATAATCATGTACTGTATTGTTTTACTTTCTGATATAATGACAGAACTTTTAATAAATGAAAGGAAAAATAACTCAAGGAGACTGGCAAGCTGATTCTGAAAAACAACTTTCAAACTGCCATCTAAAGACACTTCCAAAGGTTTAACTTCAGGGGCAATCAATAAAACTCAAAACATTTTGACAAAGGTTCACGTTAAAAGACTTTTTAAAGGATGTATACTCCTGTATTAATTAACATGCAGGGCTAATCACAAAGTTGAAGGAGATGAAGATTTACTGGGGGTGTTAGTGGTCTCCTCCCATTCCCATGGGTGAGCTGAGGGAGCAGAAGGGCAACGCTGCAGTCCATCACACAACTTCAAGGAGCCAGCAGAAGTTGTGACACTGCTCAGAAAACGTCCTTAGCAGCATTTTGGTAACTGAGATGTGGGCTAAAACCTCTTTCTAATTGAAGCCACATGCCACTGATCCATCATAGCCACAGGTTCTGATGCGGGGTTGCACTCACTAAGTGTTTCAAGTAAGAGAAAACTGCCATATTTGGGGTTCAAGGTTCCTGATCACTATAAACAAGTCCCGTAAGGCAGCCCTGAAGAATTATTGTCCATCCAAATCACAGGCAGTCTGGATTATTATTTACTTCCCTGCGCAGACAACTTCTTTTTATGTATGAAAAGCGAAGCTGACTTCTGATCACCTCTAAACTTCCAGGAACTTTAGAGTCAGGTTCTGTATTCATATATAGGAAATCTAAGAAAGAATTTATGCTAGCTTGATAATAATCATGCATGTGAGCATTTTTCTTAATAGAAATAGATTACAGCTAGTGTCTAAATATTATTATCATATGGCACCATTTTACCTACTCCCACCAAAATGTTTCGAAGGGTACAATAAAACTCACAAGCTTGAACAGAGGATTGGCCATAGTAAGTCTAGCAGAAATACAATTTTAACACTCGTCTGGTTTACTGCACACAGTCATTCCTGTATGTCGTGCTCCCCTCTCCACTCTGCATCAGCTGCCCCCCTTGAGATTGCAGAAGGGAGCACCTAGAACTGTGCTCCACAGCCCTGAGCCTGATAGGACCCTTGGACACGACGATCCCAAACAGCACCATGATTAACAATTTTTTCCTGCATTTGAAAAGGCTCCAGCTTTTCCCCTTTACCTCAGTGCAGTAGTGTTTTTCAAGCCTTTGGCTTTCCTTTTGCTTCTGACAGGTCAGGGAGACCACAGACACGATGGTGCCATTGCCGCCTCCCTCTTGCGATGTTGTCCAGGATGTCAGGGCAGTAGTGGAGCTTAGCACAGTCACGGTCACATGCTGAGGCTTTTCCGTGAGCTCCTCTATCCATTCACCTGTGGGGCCTGGGACACACCCCAAAAGCACACGTGAGCAAGCCACCCTATGCATTTGAGGCACTTACATTAAAACACCCTTCTTTCACGTGATTATTTACTCCTAGTGAGAGAGGCTGGACTGACAGCTGTCCATCCCCACAGCCCTCAGGCAGTAAGGATGGCTGCCCCAGGGAAACAGCCTGTGGCCAGTCTTATTTCACCTATAGCAGAGAGGATGATGAGAGAAACATCACCGTTTGAAAATTCAGATTGCAGTATTCTCTATTTCTTACCAAAACCCACCTGGTAATATTAGATTTGTTCTTGGTAATGTTTAAAAGCAGTGATATCTAATAATGTATAGATTATTGACTAATATTAAATGACAAGCAGACGAAGATTTTTGCCTTTCCACACACTAAAATACCCTCTGAGTGTACTACAGCCTTGAAGTGTGAAAATCGAGTTCACAAGAGGTTATTACTGTAAAGAAATCTCATTCTCCATCAGACTTTTTGAAGCACTTGGTAGAGAACACAGGTTTAAATGTAGGTAAAATAACAATTCGGAAAATGACTTCAGCTAGGCTTGGTCAAAATTTCAGATTTCATGAAAATCTGCAGATTTTCTTGTCACTTAAAGTGATGTGTGTGACAACTCTTTCCTTGGCATTACTTCCTCCAGAGTTCTAATGTTACTTTACATTTATTGAGAAAATAAAAAAAATTTCAGAGCAAGAATTTAATGTAAGATCTGGCTATAAGATATGACAATCCAGACTGCTATCTGGGTGCAGCAAAAATATTGTATAATACAAGCCAGTAATTTGACAGAACGATTCACTGATTGAAAGCTACAAGGATAAGGCCGACGCTGAGAGCAGAATTTATTCATGACAGCAGACCCACACCTACTCAGGTAAAAGGAGGAATTAGATGATGAGATTCATCTCTGGAGCAGTGGATATAGGTGTAAGCTCTTACAATTCAGAAGTTTTTTCATCACTGGTCTTAAGGGAACTGAGCTACCTCATATCACAGCCCAAAGACTACTTGATTGCACTCAAAGAGGAATGGAAAAGCAATTCCACCTTAAAAGTACTTGTGCACATCTCCTATCTGGCATAATACCAAAAATACATACAAAATTTATTTAAAATACTAAGGATCTTGCATTTGTCAGAATGAATAAGACAACTGCCAAGAATTATCCTTTGGTTCCAAAAGCCTGAAAAACTAACAAAACCCAAAACCCCAAACATCCTCATGTGGTACATGTAAAATGAAAGTATTTGTTACATTCCTGTAACATGTTAATACTTTATACCAAATGAGATTCAAGTTCACCCTTAGTCTGGCTATTCCTATAACTGTACTTTGGATTAACATTTACTCATTTGTCTCAGGGCTCTGTCCCCTGTAAGTAGACTTCATGGACGACACCGTATTGCATATTGATTAGTGCAGTAAACACACCTTGTATAATGGAGCAACATTTACTAATAATCATCACTAATAGCAATGCTGTATCATCTGTTTGATATAATATACTTTAATGCTTTCCATATAATTAAGCTGTCTAATAACTATTCCTAAAGAAAACCATGACAGTGAAATACAACAGCAGAGACCATTTCTCTTGTGTGCTACTAAAGACACAATTTAAGTTAGTAATGTACTTAAGTACTTAACTACATTTCCTTTTAATCCAAATATTTCTGCCAGCCTTAGCTACCGTGTTGCGTTGCAGCACTCGTGATTCGGGGAGACTCTATCGTCCCACATGTAACATTTTGTAGTGCTGCAAATATTCCTGTTCTCACTCTATGTGCATTTTGTAGGCTGTATCTGTTTTCTTTTGCAGAAAAAGTACAAAGGGGACCACAGTCATCAGAAGGATAATAATCTGAATTCACCAATGCCTGTCTGATTTGCTGATCTAATTGTCAGTCATGATATCAGTTTACACAGACTGTATTACTTTGTCTTTTACTAAATCTTCACTTAAGAAATCCTGGGATTCTACAGGGAAATAATAAATTACTTCTTCTCCTCTGAATTTAGCAGGCTGAACTATTTGATCTACTGTAATTTGCCCCATGTTCTCTCAGAGACCATATAATTTCAGAGTTCAGTGTTTAATTGTGCAATTCCCACACTCTCAGCCTGAGATGCCCTTCATTCCTAACCCGGTGCATAGAGCCTCCAGGAGTGAGGAAGTTAAATATTTTCAAGAATCTCTATAACCACCAATTTAATTCTTGGAGTTAAATCCTCTCTTGGAAAGATGTAAGACGGGAGTCTGGTTTAGTGAGACACTTCTGAACACTGCAATGACTCTGTCAAATACCTCACCTCTTTTCAGTTCTCAGCTTTGCCACGGCAGCACAAGGAAGGCTTATCCCATTGGGATATAACACATATTTGCACTTTATTTCCTTCTCTACCACAGGGAATTCCAGAAGACCAGACTCTCCTGACCCTGCAGCAGATGCCACAGCCGCCACAGTAGTTAGTCATTAAAGTCATATTGGTCTGGGAGAAAAAGTCAGTTTTGTTGAGATACTTACTTATGTAAAAGCTAAGAGTTTTTGCTGATTGACTTCCCCGAACTTCACAAGAGCCAGAGGAGCTAAACGTTGTTACAGACAACTTATATTTTCCTGGTTCTTTCAGTTCAGCAACAAATTTGTGAATGTCCTCACTTACTGTCAAAAATTCGGTGGAGTTCTCTAAATCAGGGAGAAAAAAAAGAGTGTGGATTAATTGAAATTTGAAAGGTTCCAGCCACTAAGAAAATGATTTATATCAGAAATACTAATACTGTTTCTACTGTGGGATTGAAAGGTCTCCAAAAGGACTGGATTTATGTAAGTACTTTTATTTCTTGCCAGCAGCACAAGAGTAACAAATGACCAAAGTTACAGCGTAGGTGTAAAGTAACAATAAACCCAGGCTAAATTTTCATTCCATAGAAGGTATGATAAAACAGGGTTGCCATGACTCTGCAAGTGAAAACACGCATGGCATGGAAGAAAAGGAGTTTAAAATTTTCTATCTATTGCATTCTTATTCTGGAATAATAAAAAAAAAAGACTAGTATTTGCCTTCACTGTGGGAAGGCTTATGAAAACTGCTTGTCAGGAAATAAAACTCATTTGATAAAACAGATTATAAACCACAAAATCTTTAAGCAGCATGGCGATTTTCCTGTAGCTCTATCACTTGAAAAGCCTCCCCATTCCCTACCACAGGCTCCTTGTGGCCTAAGGAATATGTTTGCTTGCTGTCCTCTGAGAAAACTGTTCGTCTGAATGTCCACTGTCTTTTCTGTATGCCCCTTCCAGTTGAGATCCCCCCAAGAACCTTTCTCAGTGGCAGACAAAACTACATGGTATCTCCCTTCTTTGTCCCAAACTGCTATCAGCTAGTTCCTCCTTTCTCCAACATCAGAATGGATTTACGATAACTACAGTGTAAACAGTGTGGCAGTACATACAACAGTATAAATCTTGTTTAACAAAAGAGAATTGCAAACTGCAAATTGCCTCTCCTCCCTTACTTTTATGACTCCCAGCCAGAACTAGATGCTATTCAATGCATTAAATTTCTCAAGAAATACAGGAGATCTAACAATGCCCCCTGAAGCACAGTACTCAGCAATTCATAATTTGTAGAGGAGACAACCCACCAATGTAATTACGTAAAAGTGGTTTGAAAAGGGTGGCAGGCTCTGTTTTACCTTCCCTTTCAATATTGATATGGAAACCATCAAACGCAGTAGGTGGCTTTGGTGGTAACCAGGTCAGCACCATTTGTACAGGAAGGAAGGAGGAGGGCTGTGGCGTGAGTTTTCCAGACGTGTTGACTTCATGAACCTCATAATCACTGGAAACTGCATTGACAAACTCCTCTTCACCCTCTGATGACTCAGCTTCATTAGGCCACCAGTACGGCTGTGACGTCGTTTCGTACTCAGTGCTATTATAGCGATAGTCCGGCCAGGCTGTAGTTGTGTTCGCTGCTGGAATGTCAGGTGGGTTGTCAGAAAAATGGGTAAGCTTTTCTTTCCTTATAAGTTCTTGTTGTTCTATGAATGATTCTTCTGCAAAATTCCCACTGTTCTCTTCCCAGTTGTTTCTGTTGACTGGTACAATCTGAACTGAAATGTTTCGAGGTGGGTAAGGAACTAAAAGAGAACAAGGGTTAGTCTTTTAACAGGTGTGTTCTGCACATCTTATGATGTAATGTTTGCAGAAAAGCAATGCCTCTAGGGGTATTTTGAAATAGCTTATTAAGATTCTCCCTTCTCTTACATACACTTATAGCAGAAGTGAATCTAGTGGGATCAAGATGAGTGTAAATTCACAAAAGAATTGAGATTCGAGAATACCAAGAAGAACAGTAAAGTCACAGTAAATCAGACTTCAGTGCTATTCAAGCAAAGCTACTCAAGTGTGAATTTGTAAGAGTGGATCTTCATTTATTTTATTGTGTCTACCAGAAAGATCTTGATCATGGTAAAAATACTTCTGTATAAATGAACTGAAAAACATGTGCAAAACTAGTATCTGGCATAGTTCATATTTTAAAAGTATAAACTTCGTGTTGTTGTAGGGCTTTTCATATGCTTTTAGCAGCCACCTTTTCATAAGCATTCAACATCAGTTTACTTTTTAATATTTGTGAAAAATATATAATAATTTAATAAATTTAATATATCTGAAGATTTGGGTCTCCAGAAGACAAAATTCTGGCATGCAAAGAAGTTATTTCAACTTGTGCCAGGAGGTGAACACAGCATTTTGTCTGCTTCACTGTAACTGCTTGTCTCTCTGCCCTTATACATGGTAAGTGAAAGTAGCCTCTACAAAAGATTTTGACTGGCACATTTTAAGATGGCACCTTAAACACGCTAATTTGTTCACCTTCCCTGTCCCAGTCATGGCCACCAATACAAAATCAGACACCACAATGCTGTTGCAGTTCATGTGAAGAATGAGGGACAGGAGGACAGCAGGAAAGAAAAATGCCATCCTGTTGGTTGCATTCTTATGGTTCAATATCTCGGTCACTATATTTAGGATCCTCGGGACAGAACTATGCTGTCTTTGCTCTGTCCAAGGCAATGGACCAACATCAGTGTATTCACCTGAAGATCTGGCTTTTTCATTTCACCACTGGTTCATTTCACTTTGTACCCCGGAAAATGTCTGTGGTCCAACAGATTAATAGGAAAGTTTTGGGCACCATCCCAGGACCAAATTAAATTAGTTCTGGACCCTGAACAAATGCAATTTTCAGCCTTTTTAACATTGCTGTCTTGGAAATTAAAAGTTCATGCTTCAGGGCATGAACTGGTCTCCAAATGGGGCAAATATGACATTCTTCTCCGTGACAGAAGACTGCACACTGAAGAAGGTCTTCTCCAACAGTTTAGCTATGATTCACTGCACAAGGAGACAGACCAATATAGATAGATCAATACTATGCTCAGTGCGGCTATTCTTGTGGCTTAAAAATTAATTCCTAGCACAAGGCCTAGGATAACTCATGTGAAACAGAATTTATTTTCTAACAAGCAAGCTTTCAAATGGAAACACTCAGGCAAATTTTCCTTTGCACTGTACTGCACACATAACTATGTACCAGCCACAGCATCCTCCGTCCATGGTCCTGGCCAGGAGCAGCTCCCAGGACTGCTCCCACCCAGACTCTGTGGATCAATCCCCTTCCCACAGCTGAAAAGAAAGCAGAAAGAGAGACGTGGAGCAAATGGTACACAACAATTTTCTTCACCTGTTCTGTGCTGTTTGGGCTCATGCTGGACCCCGCTGTATTCCACTAGCGTGCTTTTGTTGAAGGTTGCTTCCGATACCAACTGAAATGTGATGTTACTGTAGCATATACCTGGTAGCCAGTGATTGAAAACTGTTTTACCTTTAAAGAAATCTGCAGGAGGTTTAAAAAGAAAAGAGAAAAGAAAAAAAAGAGGAAAATAAATCAAAAGTTCACTTTGTGATAATGCAACTGCACATGCTGAACTGGCAGCGTTTCAGATGTTTAAACATTGTTCAGCCTGGTTTGAGACATGAAATTCTAATAATTCAGTTTGCCAACATTTTTTCTGGATGTCAAAGACCCTTTGCTACCAAAAGAAAAAAAAAAAAAAAGAGCACAGCACAAAAATCATGAACTACTTTTCACAGGAAAGGCAACTGAATCTGGCAACCTGTTCCACATGACACTGAATATCTCAAAGAGCATCTGACAGTTTCTTCAGACCTTTAACTGCTGCACGCAAAAGCCTCCTTTGGTCTTTTGCTGACTGAGGCATAGCGTTCGGGGTAGGTGTTCAAAGGGCCACCCTGCAACTGAGCACGAGCGGCGGGACTGAGAGCTGAGCTCATGTCTGCCCTCAGTACACGTGTGGGCTGCAGGGACGTCGCCTAGGGCTATTCGGCTACAGGAAGGAGCGTGCAAGTTGATTAGTGAATCTCTTAATTCAGGATGACTTTTGTGTTTATCAGCAGCTGCAGCATTACAGCCCCTGGAACCATGTGTTAGCTGTAGGAAACAAAAATTGCTGCTGGTATCCCTTTTGTTGTCTGGAAAGAGGTCATCTATATTTTGTGCTACGATCCAGAATCACCCTTCCTAACTTCTAGCACTTCACAGCACTGGAAACGTGATTTCTAGCCTCACTCCGTACTGAAGTAGATACACTACAATTTTCTGACCTCCTTCTGGAGGTGTGTATCTCCCTCTGCTGCCTTTAGAGAGAGCTTACAGTGACTGGACTTCTACTTAGGGAGCCTTAGCTCAGCGCCTAAAATTCAATCCAGCACCTAGTGGATTGCTCGGCAGCATTTTCCTGTCACTGTGCAATGTTAAACCATTGGGGTTTCAGGGCTGGCAGAGTGTGCGAGTGCCTTTCTCACCTCTCAGGATGCTTTCTGTAGGACAGTCACATTTACACCTTTGAGATCAATGCTGTGTGTAAGCTATAGTGCAGGGCAAAAGGGAGTTTAGTTTTAAATGAATAAAAAAGAAAGCAGAATTTGCTCTTGTTGGATTGTTTAGATGCTTGGATTGATTAAGACTGACTGTCTAGATTGTTCGATTGATAGCCCTTGATTAGATTCTTTCATGAAAAATGAAATTTATAACATGCAGCAGGATTTATGAGCTCAGGCACAACACTGAATGTTACAGTAATACAGAGTACTGCACAGGATGATATACTAGCACCGCGTCTCTCTGTGGTGATACAGAGGTACCAGCTTCAAACCCTGCACCAGACATCAGTTATATTGACTGGGATTTTCAGCTCTGTGGCATCCTGGAGCTCTCTTATCAATCAGCTCTTCATCACAGAGGAAACCCTAGTCAGGAGGAAGGGACTGGGAACTTTTTTAATGCTTTCAGTTGAGACAGAATATCATCCAGGGATTTCAACAAGCATATCTATAAAACCAAAAGGCTTCCTCCCTACTGAGTTTTGGGTTTCTTTCCTTTTTTCCTTTTTATGAGTGCTTTTGTTTTGTTGTTTGGCTTTTTGTTTGTTTGGGTTTTTATTATACAGCAGGAGCAAAGACGATAAAAAAATGGTGCTTTTGTTTTTGTTTTTTTTTCATTTTAGTGTATATGCTTATTTGAAAGCACCAGAATTGGGCATCTCTTCCCAGGATTATTTCAGAACTAATTAAAAAAATCCAGACCACCCCAGTCTTGCTCTAAAATCCCAAAGAAAGGAAGCATAACTAGAACTAGGATGCAAAGCAGGTTTAAGTACAAAGTGAACCACCAGCTCAACTTGAAGACCCATCCCTTACTTCATGATATAAAACTTATTACAGAAACTGATACATTACCAGAAATATAAATCATTATAACCAATACATGCCAAAGCCGCACCTAAGACCTCTGTTTAAAATGTTTCCAGCAGAGTTATCATTAAGTTTTAGTGGAACTGTTTCCTCCTACCTTTGTACAGCATTGTTCGGTAGTCTTTTCCTTCCCAATAGCTTATATTTACCCTGGTAAAAACATTGTACTTCTCTGGGTATTGAATTTCAAACAACACTCCTGTTTCTGGAGATGGTTTGTAATCATAGATAGAAACACTGCTCACAGGAAGGGGTTCTAAAGGATATAGAAATACAAGGAAAAAAGGAAGAAACAAGCAGATTAACAGGCAAACTTGATTTTTTCACAGATATACAACATCAAAGAAAAACGTGACTTTGAGAGGTGTGGTAAAGGCACTCTTAAAACCACCAGGTGATATTTGAGGCTTCACAGAGGTCTGGCACAAAGTTACTTGCAATGTTGTCAAAGCCAAGACTTATGTTTTCCCCCTCAAAACAGTTTATGTACTTCATGCTTACACTTTAACTGAAGAATTTCTTTATTTGCCATAGAAAATGAAGTTGAAGTAGAAGTTATTATTTAAGCACTCACAATCATCACCCCAAAAGGATTTTCTTCTTTAATGCTTGTCAGTCATGTAAAAGTGCCCAGACAAAACCAACAAAACACCTGAAATTGCTCATAACTTTGGCATAAATCTCAACTTTTAAGATTAGCAGAGAAGCTTCCATGTAACAGCCAAATGAAAACTTTCTATTTTGATATATATTAATTTCTCTATTTCATTGGTAATTACACATTCTCCATTCCTACCATATCTGAGAGGGTCACCAGCTTCAACATATTTATCCACAGCAAACTTCCACAAAATACCGCAGCACCATTACCGTGCTTTTTCAGGTGAAGAACTGAGGTACAGAGAAGTGGTTTACTGGAGGGCACAAGGGAACCTATGCCCAAGGGGGAGGTAAAGTGAGGAACTACCAGTCCAGTGCTCTGAACTCTGAGTCAGGTGGGCTATACAAAGTAAGAAAACTAGCCTGTGTCCTGTGATGTGGCATCTCAACCAGGCAAGCTCCATCAACAAAGTGACACTGTGTCAATTCACTGCTGCTGGGAGTCGCGATTGTCACTAACAATAATAGAGTCCCAGTTTTATTCAGCCTCCTTTATATTAAAAAAAAGAATTTAAAAAAAAATTAAATTATCCTTTTGCTTGATGCTTTCCTCAGTAAGAAAAAATGATAGCAACCCAACTGTACGTTGTTTAAAAGGGCCAAGCAGATATTCAAAACAAGGTTACAGTATTGAAATTTGTCATACTAACATATTTTAATAGAGGCAGTTATTAGACAATGCCATCACTAACTATGCCTACATACTTATAAGTATTATCATGTTGATTTAGTTCTTTCACACTGTGGGGAACATTGAAAAATTCAGGCTGTTCATTAGCATGGCCTTAAGGGACACATTTGAGTTCAAAGTTCTGTTGTGGTAGGCCCTGGAGAAAAACTAATAAAATACTTTTCCCCAAAGAACATGAAGTCAAATTGGGCAAGAGAAAGAACAGATTAAATCATCCATTTCAAAAGTGGAATTATCCCACAGAAGGTGGAATAGGTTAATCAAAGATGGAAAAGAAAGCCTGTGGTGAAAGGGAAAAAAATCCCAATTAACAGCACAGTATTTTCACCACAGTACTAAGTTTCCAGATCTAATGAGAAGTGGAGAAGAAAGAACAACTAAGAACAAAAGCCACAGATGCAAACAGCATCTCTCCCCAGGTCCTAAGAAGAAGTTGTGTTGTCATATTTAACTATGTCAGAGCATGGCAATGAAATGTTGTGGGATTATTAAACTTCTTCTCATGGCAAAGACGTTTCATTAGCTTCAGGCAAATACCAGTATATTTGTACGTTAAACCATGACAAACAGAAACTCCCAATCTCACAGATACCAACAGGCACTTCACTAATGGGATCTGTGAAAATTTTGCTGACAATCCGTGATAGCCTAGAAACAAACAGGAGTAAAGCAGATTATGGGGAAAAAAAGCCTACACTATTCTTTCTGCTGAGGCTTTTCTCATCGCTTATTCTGAAATAAACAGTTGATCTGGCAATCCACATGACCAGAGGGTTCATATCACAGCTCACACAGCACACGATAGTAGTTTAAATGTCAATAACAATCTCTAAATAGCACAGCTCTTAGACGCAGTCATCTTTCATGTTAGCGGGTGTGCCCTGGGCTTTCTTCTGCTATCTCATTCACATCTGAGGTCTCCTTATTTCTGAAAGAATTACTGAAACTTTCTTGTGCCAGTGATTAAATTACTCCATTTATTCCTTCCTACAGCAAATCAAATAAAGGATGGAAGTTACATTCATTTTTAATCCAAATGATTTTTTCCTCCTGATGCTTTGATTTAATTAACCAATAATCAAATTATGCAGTAATCACCACAGACTCTCTTTCTTGTTGTTATCTTATCCTTACTATCCTCTCCTTGCTCGTGGCTGATGTCAGCAGAGTAGCATGAGTGATATAATGCAACAAAGATTCTTCTATTATCTTACTTCCTTTGGCACCAAATCTTCACATCAAAAGCTATTTGCACACTGTGAAATTAAAAGGACACTCAGCAGATTAAAAAAAAAAAAATCACATTCTGTTCTTCACTTACTAACTGCTCCTAGGGTTATTAGAATTAAAGAATATGTAGGATGTCACTCTGTCTATATTTATAATTCAGAGCATACAGAGCTTGGTCTTTTTAATTTTACAGTTTCAGTACTTAGAATCCAGTGGTTCTCAAGAAATAAACTAAATAAAGTGTAATACAATACTTAGAGCTACATAAACCCTCTATACTACATTGATGTCTGAAGTTATATTATAGAAGGGACTTAGAGGATTTTAGTGTCCCCCTAATATCATATTTAAGGCACTTATTCATGTACAAGCCCTTTATTTTAAGACTCACAGATTATATTAAACACACATAGACAAGCTTGCAGGATTAAGACTTAAATTTGCCTTTTTTCTTAGTGCCTCAGAATCTGCTGCTCCTGCAACAACTGCTTTCCCATTAGATCTGTTTATGGGAAACTAAACTATGTTTATCTGAGACTCTACAGCATTTTGTATTTAGCACATAGCTTGCATTATAGCATAATAAATGTCGATAACCACTTCCCCAAATGTCCTGGAAAATTCTGGATACTAAATCCTCCATTAATGGATTCAGTCAGTTCCAGACACATTAGCATTTGCCATTCAGGGTGAGGAAAAAAGTACATTGAAAATAAGTTACATATTCCAGCCCAAATCAATTTGGTTCTAATATTCATACATCAGGCAACTCTACAGATTCCATTAATGGTTGATTACCGTGGTAGGTTAGACACAGTATTAAATACAGGTGGTTGAAATGAGACTGAGATCAACTCTTGCTTCTTACACTCAAACCCAAATTAATTGTGATTTACCTTCATATCATAACTTTTATAAAAAAGAAGCCCAGTAACGGAGCACCTAACTTCCATGAGTAAATCCCTGTATTCACATGAAGAACTTGTGAATTACATAACTTTGTCCCCAGGATGACACTGTTTCCATTTCTATTTAGTTACTGCGAGTAAGTCATAGTCAGGGTAAAACTTTCATTATGCAATAAACTTGGGGATCATTTTATCTCTTTTAAAAAGCAACCATTTTTGAGATTAAATAGTTGCTGTTTAATACTTGAGGAACATAAAATCATAGAACGGTTTGGATTGGAAGGGACCTGAAAGACCATCTAGTTCCAACCCCCAAGCCATGGGCAGGGACACCTTCCACTAGACCAGGTTGCTCCAAGCCTCATCCAGCCTGGCCTTGAACACTTCCAGGGATGGGGCATCCACAGCTTCTCTGGGCAACCTGTGCCAGTGCCTCACCACCCTCTCCGGGAAGAACTTCTTCCTGATATACAATCTAAACCTCCACCCTTTCACTTTAAACCCGTTATCCCTTGTCCTGTCACTACAGGCCCTTGTGAAAAGTCCCCCCCAGCTTCCTTGTAGCCCCTTCAGGTACTGGAAGGTGCTATAAGGTCTCCCGGGAGCCTTCTCTTCTCCAGGCTGAACAAGCCCAACTCTCTCAGCCTGTCCCCATAGCAGAGGGGCGCCATTCCTCTCAGCATCTTTGTGGCCTCCTCTGGACTCGCTCCAACCAGTTGATATCCTTCTGATGTTGGGGGTTCCACAGCTGGACGCAGCACTCCAGGTGGGGGACTCAGCAGAGCAGAGCAGAGGGGGAGAATCACCTCCCTCGACCTGCTGGCCCCACTTCTCCTGATACTGCCCAGGATACAGTTGGCTTTCAGTAGAGGATATCTGTGCAACTGTTCATGAAAGGTGAATTTAAGTGATGGTAGTATCTGAGCAATGACGGTATATACTGCCATTTCTAGATGCCCACATAAGTTGACAAATAAAAAGACAATACAAACTAAAAAAATAATGTTGTCACAAGAACAAAGGTATATCTGTTGTTCTTGAACGTATTTAGGCCAGTGCTTTAGAGGAGCCTCTCAACGGAAATTATGACAGAAAAAAAATACTCTTAAGTTTGCAGTTCTTTTTGTTTCCTTGATTCTGATTGAGGGCTTTTTTCACCTTGAAAAGGGAATAACATGATTTGTTTGCTGGGAAAAGCTAAGCACTAACGGACCTGGATGCTCTTCTGAGTTACATTTCAAAATCAGAGCTGGCACAAAGCCTTTTTTAAAGACATGCCATGTCATCCTTTAAGAAAGAAAAACATGAAGGGCTGAAGTTTTACAGTTCTTTGGAAAAGAAAACCTCTGAAGCTGCTACTTCAACACCTCCGATCCATCAGCGAGTAAGAGGAAAGGATTCAACCTGCTGAATCACTTCCTACAGCATCTGGCACAACGACAACCGAGCATTAACTAGGTCTAATGCCAATTACTTTCTGAGAGCTGAAGAGATCAGAGTCCCAGGCAGCAGGCCCACTGGTCTCCTGAGGAGAATATTCTCTGTTAAAGACACAGAGGCAGAACTCTCCCTAAGGGGAATGTATTTTACAGTGATTTATGTAAGGAATCATCAGCTTTTGAAACAATGAGACATTTACCACTCAAAACTCCTAATCACAAGCTAAAAAAAAATTTGGGCAGAGCTGGTCTTAATTACCCTCAGACATCCTGAGATTCTCATTTTGCCAATTCCCAGCAGACATACATTTTTCCTACAGTAGGCAATAGCTTTGCAATGTACTGCTGTCCCCATTCTTCCGAACGTATAAATGTATTTTCCTTCACAACAAAAAGAAAAATTGACAGTGAATTTGAAAACAAAACAAACCAAAGGCTATATGGGTATGAGTCATGCTGGGAAGAATAAAACAAGGCTTCATGCTGGGAAAATGGAGAATGAGTGAGAACTTCAGTTACTGAGTTTACATCCATGCCCTTTATTTCTTTATAGACTAGCTTAAAACCAATTGTAATAAGGTGGAACTTTCTTTCAAATATTGCAAGCCACTAAATTATATAAATTCTCAAGCCACCTCCCTGTTATTGAAAAGCCGAAACTCCAAGAGCAGAAGAAAGCATTCTTGAAATAATTCTGTTAGATACCGTAACTACTTCTAACCTCGTCCAGAATGACAACTGTAAGGAAGGTCATTTTGACAGGCACAACCCAATTGCACTCACAGGAATATGGCCTGGACAGCAACATTCCCACACCTATTCTTGTTAACACCATCACAGGGATCTTTAATAATAAGTGGTCAGGGCTTCTGTTTAATGCTTTCCTCTTCAGTGAAGTACTGAGCCCAAATTGCCAAACACAACTTTGATACAGAATCAGAAGAGAAAGCGCTACTTTGTGCTCAAATTCTATGTTATGGGTTTCCTATCTAGGAGTTGAACATGCCCTGTTCATCCCATCCTACTAACGTCCCAAAGTCAGGAAACAATGTGAGGATGTGGGCTGTGATCAAGCTGACAAAAACCTTGGGCTCCAAGAAGTTGTTTTGCAACAAATAGCTCATACTTTGCATTATAACAATCTGGACTATAAAGCCTAAACAAGGAAACTTTATAGTTTGTGGTGTTTTGATTAACATGAGAAAGCCCTGGAATTATTCCAGACAGGCAGAAAAGACTATTCAGTCTTGGAGATAAGACCCAAATTAACAATAGATGTCTCAAATGATAGCATGCATACATGTATATTTATGTAATGCTAAGATATCCAATATTTTATATGCACATATTTATGGACAAACATGTATTTTTACTTATGTTTAATTATATATACACATACATATAAGGTTTAAAATACATTTTTTGCTAGCTTTTATATCATATTTCTCTTAAGGATTTTTTTTTCTGGGCAGAAAACTTGGAGGGGTAAAACAAAAGTCTTCTCTGACTCAAATGGGATGAAACTTCAACCTGCGAAGAAACAGACCTTTTTCTTGCCAATATGCTGGGAAGTAGCACATCGCTGAGGGATGTGAATAGGAGAGAGGAAATGTCATCAAGATATACCACCGGAAAGCAGAGGTCTTTCGTGTCTCTCACTGAATTCTTAAGTAGGCAATCTCTTTGAAGGACCTTGCTCTCATTTCAACATGCACAATTTGGATACACACTGCTCTGTGTGAAACTTAGCTCTCCAGCACACAGTCAAGCCCAAAGCCTGCATCTCCCTGCATGGACTCCTTTGCAGGCATCAGAAGATCACAGAAGACTGTTGTGCAACAGTGAAGTTTGGCCTTGGGAATAACCACAGTGGCATCACTGGCTATCCTGCTTGATTTATCTTGTGGTAGTCAAATGAATGGGGCCAATCTGCAACTGGTGAAGCTCTCCTGATTTCAGTGAAATTAGAACAGGAATTAATTTGGTCCTGGAAGCTAGTTGCAATGTGTCATTTTTTCACATGTAAGATACAGGTGGAATAAATCACATAGTTATATGTCCTTGCACGGTTAAAATAAACTACGAATTTAGGCAGAGAGAGCATATGGCATGAAGAAAGATATGAATCTATCCTAATTATTGTCTGCCAAAAAAAATCAAATTAATTAATAGCCAGAAAATGAGGTAAAACAGGCAGTGGACAATACCATAAAAGGAAAAACAAAAGAATAAAAGGAAAACAAACTATCACCTCGTAGTTTTGTAGAAGTCACTACATGAGTTTTAAGATCTCTTCTCTCAAGCACTGTACTGAAGTATAGCTTAAAAGCCCAGCCTGCCACCATGTCTTTTAATTCCAAATTTGCTTTCATTCCTGTAGCCTTGTGCTCCAAGGTCTGGGTGAGCAGCAGAGGCCACAGCAAGAAACCCTGAGATGCTGCCAGCGCAGCCGTGTAAGACAGGTGGTGAAAAGGGGTGGGGTCCATCCTGTCAGAAAGGACTCTGTCAAGCCTTGGAGGACAAAGCGCAATGTGGCCTATGCCCCTTGGAACCATCAGTCTCATGGACTTGCAGGAATACCTTGTGGAAAACCCCTGAACCAGAAATGCGAAGTCCGGGTCTGGATTTGATGGGCTGAGTGTCACTGGCTCCCTTCTTCCTTCAGAGATTCCCTGCACAGGAGTGTGTGCTCCATCTACCATTCTGGATCACACCTTCCCCTTCTACCAGTGACCCTCATGGGCTCTGGAAACCCAACAGCACTGACCTTGCTGCACAATTGCAAAGTGCAGCATTCAAAACCCACTGGAAATGCAGGCTGAAGCATTTTTTTTAGTTGTATATGACAGCTGATGCTCCTGTTTTTTAAAAAAAAACCAAACAAACCATAAAGTAGGAAATAGTATTAGAATTATTACTTTGTCTGCAAGGTTAAGGTAGACAAAGAAAAGGAAATTCGGGCTGCCTATGAACCCTTCAGTTGCCCACTACACATGGGTGCTTTGGCACATCAGTCTTCCGGAAGACTTGCATTACCCATCCAGATGGTACATTTCCCATGGGACCCTTCACAGTTGTCTTTATCAGGGCACAATTTGATTGCACAAGGGAAGGTTGAAGACTTCATAGATGATGTGAAACCTGGTTACTCCTAAGTTTCAAGCACCTCACCCAGTAACATACGAGGCTACTGTAATATGCTCTCAATGTTATTACAGTGGATGGCATTTCCTCACTGACAGAATAACGAATGCACACAAAATCATAACCATTCCTCATCTGTAAGACAACTAAAACTGTCCAAGGACTCCAAGGTACCATTTAGCAAAAAATAAATAAAATCTGGAAATGGGTTTTTTCCCCATACATAATTTTTTTTTTTTTGTCTGTCTTTTCTTGAGTCTGTCTTCCAGATAAAGAAGTCACTATATATCCTACAAATTGTTTTCAGGTTGGCACATGGGAACACCAACAGCAGAGCCAGAAATGTGGCAGCAATCACATGGAAATCTGTGGTGCTTCACATGATGACAGAGCAAACAAAATCACATCTCTTCCCCAGGAACAACGCACCTAGAGATAGTAAGGGAGAGAACTACTACAAATATGTTCTCCATCACAAAAACCTTCATCTGTACTGGCAGAAACACATGGTTTTGGCAACTTCTATCTGCTTTCCAGGTTAAGTACTGTTTCAATATATTAGCAATCAAAGAACATGGTTATAGCATTGAAAACAAAACACACATCACCATGTAGCAGGAGTGCTTACGCTAAAATGTTAGTCAACGCTTTTTATGCTGTTTACTAGATTATTGGAACTCCCAGTTCAAAGGGTTTAGGATGAACATGAGGACAGGAGGTTCATCCTTTACACTTATTTCAGTATGTTCAACCTCTCCAGTCAGTGTTCAGGAAGGGTCATCCAGGGAAAACCCACAGATGTCCCTTTCTTCTTGCCCAGACCTTGTGAATTCTCACTCACAAGCCTTCTGAACATACCTTCCTTACTGTTCTAACACAGGGATTCATCCTACATACACAGGACCTACTGAAAAAAAAACAAAAAACCAAAAACCAAAAAAACCCCCAACAAACCACCACCCAACCTTCTCCACAAGAACTTCTGGGGGAAAAATACCCACACACAAAGAGAAGAAACAGAAGCAAAAAAAAAAGAATAAGTTGTTACTTACTGGTTAACACAGTGATTGATCTTGCTGACTTGGAAACCATATTTGAGTTCACTACCAACAGAGTTACTATGTAATATAGGCCATGGTATTTGGCATTAAAAACCACAGGGGCAGGTAAAGTGCTATTGAATTCTTCGAACTGGAAAAAGTAGTTCTTGGATTCTCCAGCTATCTTCACAACATATACAGAGGATGAGCTCACCACATCAGATGCTTCCAGGGAGACAATGATACAATTGTCTTCTCGAACAGTAACTTGGAAAGGTTCTGCATTCTACAAGACAAGAATAAAGACTTTACTGAAGTAAATTCTATTATTTCACTTTTACCTATTTCCCTTGGTACTCATAGGACACTCTTGTTAGATTTGCGCTAAAGTTACATTTCATATTCTGCAAGAAAGGTAACATCAAAGTGTAGAAATTACTTCAGAATACAACCCACAGTCAGCCAAAGTCCACAGGCATCTGATCATCAGGCCAGTCTCCCTGCAGCAGGGGCTGGCTCCTGCCATGTGCTTTCTGATGCTCTGGCTACACCACCCCTTACATCCCAAGGAACAAAGCCTCTGCCATTCTTCCCTGATGGAAGGTGGAGTAGAGCAGAGGAATGGTGAGATTAAACAGGGTACCAGGGGCAAGAGGATTTCCAATAAAGCCACAAAGCATAAGTCATTTTAATTGCCCAAAAGAGATGATTAAATCAAGACTCCTTTATCTTGCAAAAACAGGATCATATATTCTTATATATTCTGAAAGCCTGCAACTCAAGAATACTTTTTGGTACTAAACTTTTCCAAATATTCCCATTCCAGCAAGTACCAGGTGATGAGCATTTTTTAGCACTATGTCCATGGCTTTGGTTGGCACTTTTAATTTCCTAAGGTGCACCACTTCATTTTCAATATTTCTTTTATTAGTAGTAAAGAGAAAGGAGCAATTTAACCTTGTTTTCATATATCATGAGCATGTTAAGTCATTGCCAGCTGAAAACACTTTCCTTATTATTAATTGCAAACCAGCTGCCAGCAAGAAGCACTTGTTCTCTATAGGAATTTCAAAACATATTCATGGTAATAATGAGAACAAAAAGTTCAAGCTTATGTAAAGAATTGCCTTTTTTTTTTTTTTCTAGACCACTCTGCTGCTTGGAATTTTTTTATCCCCAGTGAAAACTGTAATACCTGATATTTTCAACTTCCACCTCCACAGTATCTTTTTCTCTTTCATATTTCATAGGCTGAGCGCAGGGTGGACAACCATGGTTAGTTTGCAACTTATTTATCAAGTTGTTCCTGTACCAAAAAGCTAAACACCTCCTTTAGAGATTAATTTTAGTAGCTTGGCTACCGCTTGTCTTTGTGTAGTTTTGTTTGGTAGGGGATCTTCCATGAGACTAATATTTTTGTATTTACGCTGCAAGAACCAGGATGCCTATATGGACTTCCTATACATGGTATTGCCAATTCCTGGCATTGGGAAAAAAAAATGGTTCTAGGACTGTGAAATTGTAAGTAACAGTAGTTTACCTTTACATATATTTATGCTTTTATCACTGGTCTTTGAGATTTGACAATGTACCTGATGTCACACCACACTGCAGGCTAAAGAAGAAGGACCAATGCAAACCCACTCATCGAACCCAATGTGAGAGCAAGGTAACAAGTGTATAGTAAAACCAGTCCAAATAGGATAACCAGCCCAGACAGCTTCAAGTCCATGATTAAATATAGAGGCAATGTAACTTCAGCTGCTAATTTGAGGTTTGCTTTGGTTAGTATTTAAAAAAAAAAATTACTTGAATGTGGCTAAAATTATATCAGCCAATGTTATGAATGGCTGAATACTGTGGTGTGGAAGTCTGGGTAATTTTTCCACAGATGACAGAGCAATTGCTCCAAAAGGTTTACAACGTAAGACTACAACTATGCAAAAGCTTCCATGTGTTTTACTGAGCCTCAGCTGAATTCAGCAGGCTTACCCCTGAGAAGATCAAAATACCATATTTCTAGTGTTTGTATTCTGCCTTATATCCTGATCCAGCACTTGGATCCACACAGATTTAGATCTTTAACTGAGGAGTATGTTTTAATCTAGTAAAAAAAAAAAAAAATTAAATAAAGTGCTCTTAACCTTCTTCCTCCCCCCACTAAGAAAATGTGAAATGACTCCTACTTCAGCTTTCCTGCCATGGGGAGACAGGAGAAGGCAGGCAACCTCAGGCTGTGTCACAGAAAGCACTGTTTTCTTCCAAAGAGGTTATCACTGTGCCTTAGACTTGAATTGCATGTATAATCCCATGGAAGTCAGTGGGTTTTGACCTTCCACAGGCTTGCGTTCAAACGCTTCACTAGAGGAAAGAGAATGATGTCATCTTTAAATTTCTCTAGCCTTCCGAACTGTGTGGCTCTAACTCAACGTTCCTACCTTGCTGTGAAGAGACAGAGACAAAAGACCCCAACAAATTCATACGTGCCAACAAACAGTTCAAAGCAAGTTCCTTGTGTTTGGTGGTATTATACATCATTTGTGATGTTAATCAAGTACAGCTGGAAATTAAGCATATAATTGTAGAGTTACAGACATTCCTAGGATATAATTAGATGCTTTCAGAAGCTGCTCATATAGGGTGTGATTTTATTCTTTGATTTTTCTGTAGCCATTGTATTAACCATGCTAAAGACATTTTTCTCCTCACAACGTTTTCTTGACTCCACAGCAAGTCCCGTTCAGCAAATGATCCGGTAACCTTCTTCAACAGTTCTCACACAATTAGCATAACATGCCTCTGCTAGCTACATGCACAGAAACCTCAGACATACGCTATCGTTACCTATGGTAACAGCTGACTCTGAAAAATAACTTTTTGTGAGTTCTTTATCTCCTAAGCACATGGGAACTGTAAAATGACAGCCTCCCTCCTTCATGTACCTCTGTCCAGATGCTTCCAAACTCCTGCTACCATGACGCAATGTGATTTTTGAGTGACAACTCCTCAGTAGCAATGCAGCTCATCCATCCCACGCCTGTGCCCGCTGCATAACGCATCCCTCCCTGGAGTGGTACCTATGCCTTCCAGTGATACATGGCCCTCTCACACCTGTACGTGTTCAGGCTTTTAAACTGCTGTGTGCATGGAACACATGGTCTATGGGAGGCATCTGTTGTTTATTATCCATTGGCTCCTGAAATAACTTTTATCCTTTCATTTCAGCTCTATGGTTTGGTTTATAGAATGAAGGGGCAGGTAAGGGATGAATAAAAAGGATTGGCAGTTAACGTGTCATCAGATGAGATCACTTATCACCTTTGGGATACGGATTTCACTTTGGCAGCGTTTTAAAAGAACAGACCATTCTGGGCATCCTGTTCTTCACATTGTGCAAGGGGAGGGTTACCAGCCAGCACTGGGCTTGTGATTTCGGGAAGGCAGCTAGGGACAAACCTGAGTATGTTTTCTAAGCACTGCTGTAAGTGACAAACATGCCCCACAAGTGGATTGTAAAACTAGTGTGTCTTAGGACTGACAGCATCAGTATGGTAAATACACATTTCATTACTTCTGGTCAGCTACCTCCAGGATTTAATTTGCTGGTGTCACAGCTTGAGCGGCTGTTTCATGCCTGTGGGGAAATTTGGCAGGGCTTGTGCATTCAGAACCAAATGATTAGCTCCAACTTCCTTCCTGCTTTATTATTACAAGCTCGTGCCATGCTAAAGCACTTAGGGAAAAAAAAAAACAAAAACAAACAAAAAAACCCCACCACACCACACAGGAGGATGAGGAGTAAATCTCACAATGTGATGCCTGTTCACAGTCATTTCCAGCACAGGGATGAGTCATGCTAGTGGAATTTCCAGCCAATAACCAGGTCCCAATTAAAATAAAAAGGAGGGGGTGGCACAGAGATATATGACATGTCAAATAAACAATATTCAAAGAGTAATAGGAAAATAAATGGTGTGCAGCAGAGCTCAGAATTCTCTTTTCAGAAGTCTGTATCCTCTGTTTATTCTCTTACAACAGAATGAGTTTTACATGAGGAAGAAATCAAATTTGCAATACAGCTACTAATTTTATCTACTTTAGCTTTTGAATGTTTCACTCTGAAACACATTGGGCCAGGACCCAGTTATCAAAAGTGCAAGTAGTCACATGTTCTGCTATCTTCAGGAGGAGCTGGGGATGATGCTCATCAGCTCTGCAAAATTAAAGTACTGGTCATTGTATCAATTTATTTAATGCTAGACAAGTGGAACTTAGAACTTAAACAAATTAATTTCTGCCAGCTCTTAACACAATCATTCTTGAATACAAGAGTTTTCAAAGTAGGCAACTAAAATCCCAAAGGAGGAGTAAATTTTGAAGTTATGAGTATGTAACTCTTCGGCCAAAAGTCAGAGTGGTAAAGGTTGGAAGGGACCTCTAGAGATCATTTAGTCCAACCTCCCTGCCAGAGCAGCATCACCTAGACTAGATCACACAGGAACAAGTCCAGGCGGCTTTTTGAAAGTCTCAAGGGAAGGAGACTCCACCACCTCTCTGGGCAGCCTGTTCCAGTGCTCTGTCACCCTCATGGGGAAGAAATGTTTCCTCATGGTCAGGTTGAACCTTCTGTTTTCCGGTCTATGGCCATTGCCCCTAGTCCTGTCACTGGAC